AAACTTAAGCATCAAAATCTAGATCTGGCAACAGATCTAGATATAAAGAAGAACAAAAAAATTAATAAACTAAATGCACAATTCTAAACACTAGAGTAAAGCATTGCTAAAAATCCTTCCCTTTTAGAGATCATATGTAGTGCCCTTTACAAATGTGAGTGCTCAATAGGTTTATTAGTTAGGGTTTAGACCTAGAAATTTATCAAAAAAATTGTCATTTATTCCTAAGTTTATATTAGTTCATATTACAAAGCTATATTTAAGAACAAGTTATGTCAATAAAGATAAATAATTCGTAATTTTGAAAAGAAAATAGGATTGGAACTACTCTGCTCTGGTCGTCTCAATTTTAAACAATCGAAACACCTGAGCTAAAATGCGTTCTACCTACCTAGCCTCTGGAAAATGCCAAGAAAGAAGCATCTTCGTCAACAAAAGTCAAATTTTAGGATATTCTAAGCGTATTCTGGCTATGGCTTGCACACTCGTGATTCCTTGCGCGAGAAGATCCTGGACAGGAATGGCTTGCGAGTAGCGGTCGATGGCCACCCTCCAATCCATGGCTCGCAGCGTGGCAATTCGACTCAGATCCCGGTGATTGACCCGAGGAGGAGATCATCGATGCGATCGCGAGGGCGTGCAAGGATTGGGGCTTCTTTCAGGTGATCTGACTATTAGACTAAGATCACTAAACTTTTATACATTTTGGATATTTACTGCTAACACTTATCCCCCAAATCGAGTGCTTCTCTCACTGATAGTAGTAAATTCCAGTAGTCATCAAAATTAATTTTAATTTACAGTTTGAATCTTCAACAAGTTCTAGTACCACCACCGCAAGCTTGTCAAATCTCGTAGTACTTGCACAGACGAAGCCCTCTGCTTTGACTGGAGAGCAAGAAAACGAAGAAAAAAAAAACCTGCATCCCTACTTGCTTCTGCAGCTAAAGAACTTTGGGCAGCAAACACCGCCCAATCCACCCTTGTCCCCGACGCAGCAGCAGTTCCTCCACAATTCAACACGACTAAAGAGAAAGAAGCGATCTTCCAACGTTGATTTCGCCAGCCTAATAAGATCTGAAACGCAGAAGAAAGAGTTCTAATGTACTCCTCTGTGTTGCCTCCATTCGCATTGAAAACCAGGGCCCAAACAAATCACGGTGACAAACTCCTGGCATCTAAGCCCACACGGTTTTAAACCATGAACACTTCTGGCTCACCATGTTGTGTTCTGTACAGCAGCTGCCAAAGCGACCTGCTTCGTTATATTCTAAGAAAAACAACCAAGAATCGTTTAAGCACCTCTGTGCACGAGCTGCAGCTCCCTGTTCCTTCTCAAAAACTTTTAGTAGAAAGGAGCACTCAAATTTGTAATATGACGGCTTCAAACAACCTATCCCTGCCTTGGTTAGTATGTAAATATAATACAGGTATGGCAAGAGGGCCATTTCTCTTCTCTTTATAACACCAAAATGCTTCGAGGTGTAAGTTGCTCCAGCTGCTGAGAAACTGGGAAAGCAATTCAAACCATAAGTAAGCTTACTTGATTTGGATGGACGCCGTACGCATTTCCAAAGAATCTCTCCAAAAAACATTGAGAATACGTCCACAGTATATAACAAGCGTAGAGTTTTGTTGCTATTCAAATCTGAGATTCTTACAAACCAGACTAGCTGCTATCCTCGCTTTTTGACTTGTCTTTCTTCAGCACTTTCAGTGCAAGGGAGTACACTGAGTTTCGCCTCACAAAAGTTTCCTCGCTCACCTCTTTCACAGCCTGCATAGAATTTTTAGCGCTTTATAAATCACCACCACCTCTAGGAAATATTTACCTCGGACAAGCTCTTTCCAGATTCGAACAGTATTTCAAGTCTATCTTCCAGTTCTTCGTTGCTCGGGAACCTCTCGGCAGCTCTTGCTGGTAATCCGTCAATCAGCAGAGTAACTTCTCCTCGAGGCTCGCTTTCTTTAAAACGAGCTTGCGCTTTGCCAAGTGTTCCGCGCCAAAACTGTTTCAATCGTCGTCAGAAAGTAACAAACTTCTTGAAAACAGTTATTTACTTCTTCGTAGATCTTTGTTAACTCCCTTGCGACCACACAATGCCTGGCAAAAGAGAAATTAGAATGACACAGCCTAGTGCTAAATCAACCTGTTCGAGCCAAAAGCAGAGGCGCATTCTGCGAGTATGCTGCAAAGCTTGTTTGGAGGAACGAAAAAAATCTGTGTCGATGTCTCTTCCGCAGCAACAAGGAGCCGTTTGTGCCTGGTGCTCGCATGCGTCGATAGAAATCCTACTGCCTCAGCCTGGCTTTTTGTTAGCAAACGCTCATAAAGAAACAAAACCCGTATGCACGAAAGACTCACCAAACGAGAACTCGTTTGTTGGTAGTCCGGAGGCGATTAGTGCTGTTAGAGCTGCAGATGGTCCGGGAACTGGTATTATTTTATAGTTCTCCTCGATACAAGCTCTAACCTGATAGACATCACGTTAGCACGAAGAGGAAACTGAGAAAAGAAAAAAACGGAGCGTACTAGCTCAGCACCAGGATCACTGATTCCTGGCATTCCGGCATCGCTCACAAGGGCCAATGCCTCACGGTTTGCCAGTCTTTCCAGGATTTCCTCTTGTCTCGTTTGCTCGTTAAACTTGTGATAGCTCATCTGCACAAAAAAAAAACAAACAGTTTTTCTTTCTAAAGGAAACACCACTTGAGAACCAGCCTTTGGAGTTTTGATATCGTAATGCTGCAACAGCTTCGAAGAGTGCCTTGTATCCTCTGCAAGTATCAGATCAACTGATCGTAATACTCTCAAGGCGCTGGAGCCAGGAAAACAAAGAATACTTTTAGAGCAGTAGGCAGGAAGAAAAGAAAGAAAAAAAGTAAACGAGAACACACCGCATTGTGATGTCTTCGAGATTTCCTATTGGAGTAGCGACCAAGTAAAGCCCGGATTCGATCTTTGGCTGCGGGACAAGCTGGAGAACGAGAAGATAAAATAAAGGAAGAATTCATGAAGAAAATCATACCGCTTGCTCTTGCGCTGCCGCTAATGCTAGCCTCCCTTTAGCAGAACAGTACGTTGCACGGGTGATCCTCCTATGGCAGCAACTAAGCAGAGCTTTGGCGGCATTCAGCTCCATCGCCATCGCCATTGCAACCTAAAACCCCTAACTAGGGCTATTCATAATGAACGGCCAGGATCTCTTCCCGCGCAACTCTCTTCGATTTCACTTGATTTCCAATCTCGATCTTCCTGTAAATTTTGGCTCCTTTCTCTCACCTCTCGCCCGCCGGGCTGAGCATTCCTAGAAATCCAAGCAAAGAACCATACTTTGACTTGCCTAGCAAAAGAGCGTGACAAGAACCATACATACCAAATTACAAGAGCAATGCTTGTGATGCTTGCTTTGCGAGGTATAGTTTGAAGGCGTGTCTTGGTTTGAGCCAGACCGGATCATCCAGCCACCGAGACAAGTTTTTGAAACTATCCACCAAACATTGAAACTCTCTGAGCTCGAATTTGTGAGTTCGAGTGTCCTTGAGCACAGATTGGACGATGTCTTTGTTCTCATGCTGGTTTACCGAGATACCACTCTCTCCGAGGCAGGAACTGAGGCGTTGATCAATTAGATTAGGAAATTTTGTCAAGTTTTGTCTTGGTTAAATCATCTATAATTTAAATTATTATTATTGGCAAATTTACAGAACTAACCAATTGCCTTCCATAACACTGTACGAGTTTCTAAATTATAAATGAAAACATTTCCTTCTCCTTTTACCACTGCACTTGCCATCGCAAAACAATTTAAATGCAACCTACAATCCACATTAGCTTCCCAGAAAACATGATTTGCAGGGCTCTTTATCACAAGCTTTCCATCATACTGCAAATGTGCAAAGCATCCACTGATAGGATCATAAGAATGCTCACTAATCCACAAGATTAGACCATCTATTTTGCGAATTAACACCAGCTTGCAGTTCTTCTGTTGCATGGTGAGTCTATATAGTCCATTTACTGAGTTCAAACTATTTCCAGCGGGAAGATATGATCCTGAAACTTTGATATGATTGCTTATGATAGATGATCCAAAACTCCAGCAATCACTTATATCATGGTTACTTTGTTCTCCGGTGACAACACTATCTAATCTTTTAGTACGCAAATTAGTCTCTGGTGGCATGTATACGAGTTGATAGTGTATGGCAAAATTTAAAAATTCTGTACGTATCTCAGCACAAAACGTTACTCTAGTTCCATTGTCATACATAGCATCTGTGAACATCTGACTCCTGATGTAGCTGAATGCTTGCCTCACTAGGCAAAACGAAATGGTATGGATGGATCAGCCACACAAATACGAATAGAATCAACATATAAAAGTGGGGCAGTGATGTGAAATGAAATCCTCACCGATATCGCTCCCAAAGAAAACACAGAAGAGCTGCTTCCAACTCCAAATGTATTATATACTCCATCGTCAGCATAAACAACATCAATACAGTTATCAATCATGTTCATAACTTCTCTAAACTCTACTAGTGATAAGGCCTTTTAAGCCTACACTGAAGATGGTTGTGGGCAGAGCAGGATACCAGTGTGGCGGGGGCTGACCAAAACTAGTCAAAACTAAAGCTAATAATGCAAAGGTGGAGCAAATTGAGAACATGTTGGCTAAATAAAATCCACTCAAGAGTTTGGAGTTCTTGGTGCTTTCAGAGGCTAATGTGCCGAGTGTGTTGAACAAAGCTACAACGGAAAGACCAAGAAAGTTTTTGTCAAAAGATTTGGTTAAACTATTAAGCGTACATGGCTAAGTTGGATTGAAACAAAATTTGGTTGTTTTCTTTCTGAGAATTGCACTAGATATAATCAATAAATTAAAGGAATTTACTATTAGGAATTTAATTTAAGTTTATCTGACCTTGTGAAACTTATTAAAATCCGCTCTAAAATTTGGTGCTTTTCAAGTGTGTTGATTCTGAACAAACAAAAGTTACAACGCCAAGAAAGTTTTGGTTTCATAAAATATTAAGTATACAATTTTAAATATCAGCTTAACTTGCCCGCAAAACAAAATATCCATCAGTTTAGTTTCTTTTGTTTCTTCTTTTTCCTCTTAGTTTTCCTCTCTTCGATTTCACTCGATTTCCTTTTGCGCTGCTGCTCAAAAGTTTGGCTCCTTTCTCTCACGAAAAGAGCGACGAAAAAACCATCGGTTTTGTCTCGCAAGGCATCCGTCCGCAACAAATGCTGCGCTGAGCATTCCAACACAAGGCCTCAGTTCCTTTGGAGAAGCAAGAAGAAGAGTTTTGATTTACCTCCATCAAACACTGGAAGTCCTCTGTGAGGCCAATTTGGAAGAACAGTCCCGAGCTTGAATTTGTGAGAGCGAGCGTGCTCGAGCACGGATTGGACGACATCTTCGTTCTCACGCTGGTTCACCGAGCAAGTGCTGTATACCACTCTCTCCACGGCAGGAACTGGGAAAAAGAGACCAAAGACTTAGCCTGGAAAAACTGAGAGACTGGCTGCTTACAGGACAATGCGTGACACAGAGCAGCCTTTTGGAAACTGGCTAACCGATCGATCCTTTGAGCGTCATGTTGAAACTCCGGATCGTCTGGAAACTTTACAAGGGCATGAGATTATACAACTGAGAAAACAAATGACTGACCGTTTGCTACTGGAAGCAAGTGATCCATTCTTTGCACTGTAGTCCCGGAGCCAGAGCAAGACGGGTCCAACAAGATCGCACGAACCTGGAAACCATTTTAAAACTTTTTCCGCAAGAAAAAAGAAACGAAAAGAAACAGAGGAGACCTTCCTGTAGTCCGACGCGTTTGGATCGAGTTTAAGAAAGTCCTGATGCTTCACTTGTATATCTTTCAGAGTGTTGTCTAGGAAAAAACGACGGGTTTTTCAGCACAAATAGGAAGGATACTGTTTGCTCCGGCACGTTTGACCGTGTCTTGCAGCACCTGGAGGCGTTTTTTGTGGAGCTCGCAAGCCGTAACCCGACCTTTTCCTTTCATCAGAGCAGCCAAATGCACGGTTTTGTTCCCAGGAGAGGCACAAGCATCCAAAACCTCGAGAACAAAACACCATAAACTTGAAGAATAAGGAGGAGAAAAAAAGTTTAAGATAAAAGAGTACCTCCCAATCTGGATCTGGGGAAAGAACATGTGCTGGAATACAACTTGCTTTGCTCTAAGAAACAAAACAACGAAGAAAAAAAGCTCTTAACACTGAGAATTCAGCTCAAGTAAATGAGTCACCTGTAGGAAAATGCTACCTTGTAGCACAAGAGAATGGTCGTGCAAATCCGTGCCGGGCGGAAGCACAAGCAAGTCAGGAAGCAACTCGTCAACCTTGGCCTGCCAGCTAAACAATGTCAAAACGGAAAAAGATCTCACGAAGAAAACTTACGCCAAGTTCTTCAAGCTTCTCCAGAGCTTCGTCGACTGTTATTTGCAGAGTGTTCACTCTCACGTATCTGGGAATGTCTACCAAAATCGGTTTGAGGCGAGATATGAATGAAAAGATTGAAACAAACTTACCACAAGATTGTAGCTGTCGACTTTCTGTTGGCAGCAACCCATCAATCTCAGTGACATTTTTCTTCATCATCAGCCTCACAAATGCTGCTCGAAGTGCTGCCTTTCTCGACAGCACAAAGATTTCTTCTTTTCCCGACGGCAAAATCTCCTGTGTCCAACGTAGAATCACGAAAACTTCAGTATCATAGCACAAGGAAAAGAAAAAGGAATTGACTTACTTGCTCAAAGAGTAGATCATGCGTGAGCACATAGAAAAGTTCATCCTGACCCTGGCGAAGAGAAACAAAGAACTGATAGAGAGAAACAAACACTCAAACCTTGTTTTTCCTTCCTTGAAGAAGACCCACAGAATGCACGATGTCCTTGATCACGGGAAGATCTGTGAAACACATTTTTTACACGCGAAAAAGTTCAAGGAGACAAGTCCTCTTACATTTGAGAGTGTTGCAAATGAGAGCAAGGGTAGCCTTTTTCGCGACGATGGAAGGCTTGTAGACGAGAGACTTGATAGAAGCGAGCGCCCTGTGCTGCGTATTGCCCGCCAAGACTTGCCTGAGAATCCGAGCTACCTGGCGGCGCACAAAATGCAGCGCGGGCTTCTTAGCTCCCATAACATTTAGGGCGAAAATTTTGCTCTATGTATTGAAAACATCATTTCTTTTACAGCCTTCCACCATTCTTGACGAGTTTCTGGATTGAATATAACAAATTGCTCGCTTCGTCTTTGATCATAAGATTCCCATCTTGTTCGAGGTGTGCAATGCATCCACTCACAGGTTTGTGAAAATGCTTGGGTAGCACCATCTGTTTTTGTTAAGACCAACTTGCAATCCATGCACAGTGTCAACCTGTAAAGCCCATCTAGAAGATAGGATCCTGGAATTCTTTTTGGATTTCCAACAAGACAACACCTGAAACTCCAACAATCACTTTCTTTGCTCGCTAAGATGTGCTATAGAAACGTGGTGATTGTGATCCATAAGCTACATAATAGTTTATAGCAAAATTTAAGTGTTCTGTGCGTATTTCAGCACAATATCTTATCTCTCCGTCTGCTGCCTGAGACCTGCCATCGATACCCATCCGATTTCTAATGGAGAGAAATGTTTTGCTTACGTACTGGGACGAGAAACGAAATGGCAAAGAGGGATCAGCAATGCAAATCTCAAAGTTTGTTCTTATTAGCAGGGGCGCATGGATATGAAACTCAACTCTAATTGATATAGATCCAATCGGAATCACAATAGAGGAGCTTCCTACCGGAAAAGAGTTTAAACCATTGTCATCAGCATAAATCAGATTAACATGATTAACTATTTGCTGGACAATTTATCAAAGTCTGACGCTCCAAGGCCATACAAGCCAGACACCCAGCTTGTTGATGGCTCCTCAGGGTATGAATGTGATGGTGGAGATTGGCACAAGGCAGGAGCTAGTGTAAAGAGCAAGAATTTCAAGAACACATGCATCATTATCTAATTACTCTTCTTATGCTTTTCTATAACACAACATTCGTTTAATTGTCTTCTTCTTGACTGAACGATATTTGGCTGGTCTTATGTTTATTCATAAAAGAAGGACAAGGCAGGTTAAAATAGTTATGGGAGGCCTGACCAAACTTATAGTGCAAGGAGGAGAAAAGGCCAATAATAAGAAAAAAGAAAAAAAGAAAAAGGTTCTTTCAGCAAAATGTAAGTGTAAGTTTCATCTAATAAAAAATAATAATTTGTCAATGTTAACTACATCAACAATTATTATCACAATGAGTATTGTATCCATTCATAGTGTAAGGTTCTGCATTGCTGATGAATTTGCCTTCCACTTTAGTGGCTAGGTCCATCACAAACATGATGGAATTGATGAAGATCTTAAATCCACATTGAATTGTTCAACTTTGCTACAATATAATTAGTGTGATAAGGTGATTCTTTTTGTCATCAAATTAAGTCTTGTAAGACTTTAATTATCTATTCTTGATATATCTTATATTTAGGTAGTTCCTTTAAAAAAAGTGACAACATGTTACTCAACATGAGTAGGAAGTGGTAATTTTTTTATTGTCTATATCATTTTTACTTTGTGTTTTCTGTAAAGAAAGAAAAAATGGGAAATAAGGAAGAAGTGAGAAGAATGGAAAAAGAAAATAACTAAGCATGTAAACTGATAGGTAGTCTTTAGTTTAAATTAGTTCTTGTTTTTAGCTCTTTGTATTGTGCCATAAAAGGATGAAGACAATAAGTAAAAAGGAATCAAAATGCTAAATTACAAAACGAAAAGAGAAACTTTGGTTCAAATAATAAGAAAATTACTATTTCCTTCTCATATTGAGCAACATGTTGTCACCTCTCTTGCTTCTTTTTATTGTTTTTCAGCATCATAATGGCATAGTGTTTTTTTCTAAATCCTAAGTCCACATCAAAGAACTAAGACAGCTGGAAAACTAAAGTCCTACAGGATCGGAGCTTCAATTTCTCATTCTCTAGTGCATGCAGTAACCTGTCATTATCAAGGTTTTGCAACTATTCTTCAAAAGTCTATATAAAATTTCAAATGTGATTTTTGAGGAACTAAAAGTCTACCTGGTATTCCCTAGAAGAATCCATTCCCACCTTTTAGCATTGTTAACTGGAAAATGCAAACAGTATTGGAAAAAAACAGCATACAAACAACTTAAGATTTCATGGTTGTGGATTCTAATTCTGTGCTGATTTAAGGCCAACTTGTCAAAGAATTTGTTAACCAGAAACTCCTTCTAGGGGACAGATAGCTTGCACACCTATGGGTTGTCTTCCTCAAGATGCTATATGGCTTGTCTTCCTCAAGATGCTACCCTCGTCTGCATCACTAAATGCATCTTCGTCTTTCTCAATAACCATACCGTCATTGCTATGCATCTCTAAACAAATGCCAATAAACAAAAGCCCAAAACAAAAACAAAGATCAAAACCCCAAAGATGAGCAACCAATTTATAAACAAAAGCCCAAAACAAAAACCGCTGCTGTGCATTTTTAAACAAATGCCTGAGCTTCCTTAAAATCTCTCGGTGAGCCCGAGCTTCCTAAGACTTTGGAGTTGACATGGACTGAAGAAAGGGGGAGGTTTTAATTCAAGTTAAGAAACCGCTCCAAGAAGTTGATATCAATTAGTCAAGTTAATTTTTAATCAATTGCGCTGCCTTGGCTTCCGGGGTTCTTCCAGCCTATAAAATCCTTTGAGTTCTGTCTTCCATCTAAACACCTCGTCTCTTACACTCTTGTCCTTGAAAACAATCCTTATGGGCTCGGGCTTTCCAAACACTGGCTCTCGCAATTGCAACCTCTCAGTCTCCACAATCCACTCCATGTCAAACTCCTCTGCCTTGTAGCCCAGCCCGTCGTAGATCACGCTCGCGACGTGATCCCGCAGCTCCTCCTCGTCCTGCTCGTCGCTCTGGAACCAAAGCCGCGGAGCAAACAGGATCAAGCTCCGCTCCCAGCGCTCCCACGCCTTGATCTTGTTCATCTCCTCCATCTGGGAGCGAGTGTAATCCTCGGAAATCGCGAATCCCAGCTTCCGGGCTTCCTCCTGCTTGCCTAGCAGGTGGCTCCGCAGCTTGGAGCCGGCGGCAAATTCGACCAGGATGTCGCGAGGTCTCCTTCGATCCTCGATCTCGCGGCCAAGCCTCTGGGCGCTCTCCTTGATCTTCTTCGAGACGGTGACCAGGCCCAGTTCCTTAAGGATCGCCTCCACTACTTGGCCAACGTCCTCGCCTTGCTGCTCCGCCACGCCTTTGAAGCGGAGGTTATTGGCGCGCCTCTCGCGCTCGGCGGCTTCGTCCCGCGACTGGACCATGGTTGACTGGGAGGTTTCGAGCTTGGACCGGACGTGGCTTTTATAATTGAAAACTTGACTTTTCTTCCACGGCACATCAGCCTTTTTAATATTAGAAACATTAAAAAATAACTTAATTTAGCTTAATAATTAGAAAATTTATAACGACAAATGAATTAATTTAAATATCCGGAATATTCTAATATCTTTAATAGACAATTGTGAACAATACAAAATTAATTTACCATTTAGTTGTTCTCTAAATCCGTCACTATATTCTTTTTTTTAAGTTTTGTGAACAATGATCCACTTTTTGATTGTTTTGCTGATTTTTATTTTGCAAAAGTTTGCTCATTCTTTAGTTCCACCACCACCCTACTATTCCAATCCCACAACAGTTTTTCAACTGGCTTCAGGTGCATTATCACCAGAGCAATTCGAAGATGTAATTCGGCTCATTACAACTCACTACGCTGATGCTACTGGGCATAATCCTTACAACCTTTTTCCAGTGGGAAGCACATCAGTGGAGTTTCATATTGGTGCAATGACACTCAGGATTACATTTTATATCAACGCCCCTGTTGTTGTTATGTTTTGTGTTGCAGATCCCTTAATAGCAATTGGTTTTCCCTCCCATTCAGTGCGAACCACTTTCAGAAATATCAGAAATCAGATATTTTCAGATGCCTCGACTTATATTAGAGGAAGGCGGAGGTTTTGTGCCGAAATACGCACAGAATTCTCAAACTTTGCCATACACTATCGAGTAAACTTTGGTGTTTACCAAGCACAAAACTATGGTATGGCCTTTATTTCTCAGACACCCAAGGTAATTAGAAATACGTCTAATGTGATGGAGGATGATATTGCTGGAAGTGAGTGTTGGAGCTTTGAATCATCACTTATAGGGAATCAAAACAAAGTTCCGGGGTCTTTTATTCCAGCAGGAAATAGCTTGAACTCGGTGAATGGGCTTTACAGGCTGACCCTGCGCATAGATTGTAAGTTGGTGTTAATTGAGAAGAGCAATGGAAGAATTTTATACTTGAGTAAGCACCCTTACAAGCCTATTGATGGATGCTTGGCCCATTTACAGCAAGATGGGAATTTTGTGATTAAAAACCCTCAAGATCATCCTTTGTGGTCATCTGATATATATTGTAACCCACAACCCAATTGTGTTATAACAGCAAGTTTAGTGGTGAGGGGCGATGGAAATGTTTTCATTTTTAACTTTGATACTAAAGAAATAATTTGGAGAGCTATCGAGTAATCTCTTTTTTGAACTTACAATGAGAGAGATCGATAGGGACCATACTAAAATTTCCTAATGTTTTCTAAGCTAAAGTATATCTCGCACCATGTTGAATCTGTTTTTTACACGCAAATCCTTTTTAGGACAAGAACAATCCTGTCCACCATCTTCTCAATCTTAACAATCCTTTGGGAGAGCTCCCTCTGATATTCCTCAATTTCTTTCAATTTCGCGTCAAAACATGCCTGCACCTCGTTGCTGTCATGCTTTCCACAATCAGCTCCAAATCCTAAACTTTTCTCAAGGTTGTCAAATCTCGAAGTACCACCACATAGATCTTTTACAAGCTTGTCAAATCTCGCAGTACCGCCATTACTATCAGAAGCAGATTCAATCCCCAGCCTTTGTAATGAATCCATTCTCTTGACAGAACCCTTTTCTCAAGCAAACCTGATTAATACCAAAAACTCAAAAGGGAAAAGGGTTCTTCCGAGTTTCTGAAAGGTTTACGTACCTGCAGCTGCCCAATCCAACAGTAGAAAAAGCTTCGATGGGACACTTTGCAAACCACGTTCAGAGCACAGCGGCCGAGGAATCGCGTTCCAGTCGCATGTAGGAACTCCCACACGAGTTTTTTTTAACGATCCAATACTTCCAGCCATGAGAAGTGGGATCTCGTCGTTGGTCCCGTGAAATCCCCTGCCAATTATCATATCGAGATGTTTAAGAAAAGAAAACCTTTCTTTTCTCACTCTGAAGTCTTGGCGTCCGCGACAGCTGTCGGAATGCTTTGCAACAGCTTCTAAAGACCTGCCAAACGTTGTCCGATCCCGATGGTTTACTCTGGTTTGAAATAACTTTGTAAAGAACCGTGAGAATGCTTACTCTTTTCTTGCAGCTTCCATGTTGTCGGGTACATGTCAATCTTTGAGAGTCCTTGAGCTTCTATCAAGTAGTCAAACGTGGTCAGGAGTTCCCAACTTACATTCGATGAACAGTTGTGCGGATAGATCCACCTGCAGTCCGGTTGAGATCTTGTTGATTGCTTCCACTGCACCGGCCGCTGCAAATACCCAGCTCCCACCTATCACATTACAAAAGAAGAAAAAAAAGCGAGTCAAAAGGAAAGAAAAAGAAGCAAAAGCATACCAGAACAGGCTTGACTCCTGTCACAGCTCGCTTCTCCAGTCCATCGAAGCTGGAGCGCTCAGCTCCCTGCTGCTGCTGCTGCTGTTTCCGTACATTCTGATCCCCGGTGTTTTCAAAGTAACCAGCGCCTCGTTTAACTCCTCGTTCGAGCGGTTGGACATCTAGTTTAATCCCAGCGTGTACGATTTGTCCGACCGCTCGTTGTGCTTGCTAACAATCTCCAAGTCCTGCTTGAAGATCGCGTCTTCTTCACTGCTGTAATGCCTCTCATGGTCAATGCACCACCGAGCAAACAGCGCACGACTTGCGTAGGAGCAAACCAGATCAGTCTCATTCTTTCAGAAAAAAAAGAAAAAAGAAACAAAATGGAGGATATCACGAGAATTGCGCGAGGGAGAACTACAAATGTTGACGCTGCATCACCTGCAGCTAATTTTATATTATGGTACACAGAACAAGAGAACGCTTACTTGGTTTTATATTTTCTTTTGGATCATGTTCTCGAGGTTTAAGGCTGCAAAGTCAACAACGAAACCAATTTCCATTCCCACATCCATCATCATATAAGCTCATGTATGATCCCAGACAGTAAACACAGTAACAAACAATCGAATAGTAACAGCAGTAACTTACACTAGCAATCCAATCTGTTGAGCATTCCACTAATCCATGCAATGCCCAGGACTCTGCAAACCATCTGACTACCTTATAAGTTGAAAAAACTAAAATGTACCATAATGAGAAAAAAGCTTCAGACCAAAATCTCCGGCACCGCAGGCTCACTCGGACACCAGAGACGGACTTCGAGGCGCAGGAGACCCTCCCTGTCAAGAACAGTCGTAAGTTGACGTAAATACAGATAAAATACATACATTAGCCTCGGCTTTGGCGCTGGCTTCACTTGAAACAACATCCCTGGCAGGACTCTTTTCAGCCTACACCACCGCCAACTTGTCAGTACAAGCAACAGGTAAAAGCAGAATTACCGCAGGAGAAGGTGAGCGTGAGCGACGCGGGCTGGGGCTTGGGCTCAACTCCTTCACAGGAGACCTCTACAAAACTCAAGAAAACAATTAAGAAAATACAATGACAATTCACCCCAGCTTACCGACGTCTGAGGCGAGCGTGACCTGCACAACATCAATGAAGGTCAGATAATTGTGAAACCGTACTTCTAAATAATTTTACCTCGACCGTGCTACAGGAGACTTGGACACTGACTTCGAGGGGGACTTGGACCTGCTTCTCGGTGTCCTTGACCGTCTGCATGTACATGGTAAATGATAAATGCATCCCATAAAGAAAAGAAACGCCATACCCGCGGCTGCGACTTCGGCTGCGACTTCGGCTGCGGCTCCTGCTTCGGGTATAGCTGCGGCTATGACTCCTGCTCCGACTTCGACTCAAGCTGCGTGAAGTGCTTCGTTTCAAGCCCTGAGACTTGTCTTCTTTCACACGAATGTACGAGCGAGAAAATGGATTCCGAAACTCCGAATCATCGAGTTTTTTTATCTGTCAAAACACTAGAATCAATCTCCAGTCCAGTAAAAGAGAATATACAGAAAGAAAAATTAACCGCGTATTTCATATCGTCATAATTGGTGAAATCCACAATGCCAGTAGTTCCTGAGACGACACAGTTAAACAACTTTCCCCCAAAAATAATACACTGTTACCATTTCCCTCTCGAAACACTTGTGCAAAGCAAACGTCGCCAGCTCGGCGCATATGGTCCTATAGTTGACAAGTTAAATGGCGACAACAAACAGCAGTGGAAGCGCAATACCTTCAAATCCTGCCACGATGCCGACGAGGGCAATCCAGTGATTATAACTGTCGCCAAGAAACGTTAAGAAACCAGGTAGCAAACTTCATCCAAAGGCTGTATACACACCTCTATACTCCGAACGCCTGGACACACTTCCTCCCCGGCCGCCATAGCTGCTGTATCGATCCGAGGACGGAGGGCCTCGGCCACCGTGAGCGATTTCAACCCGTAAACGGTATCCATCGAAGTTGTAGCCGTCACGTCCGCGTATAGCATCCTCGGCATCTCGAACGTCTTCAAACTCGATGAAGCAGTAGCCTGGAGGCCTCGGCGGGAGTTTCAAGTCAATGTCTACAATGGGCCCATACTGCGAAACAAGATATGTGGGTTGAGCTGAGCAAACCGAAAACGAGAATACCTTGTGAAACAAGTCGTCAATTTCCCGCTCTCTCACGTCTCCCGGGAGGTTCCCGACATAAATAGTTCGGCTGGACCGGCTCATGGCTTACAGATGGCTGCTTGTAACAGCTCAAAGCCTTCACAGTGCAAGGAAACAAAGCGTCAGTGCCGCAGAGAAAGAAAATCTAGACACAGACGACCACGCAAACCAAAAAGAGAGAGCCTTTGATCCACACGAGCTCCAAAAGCTCCCTCCATGGCTCGATCTCAAGGCTCCTCCCCAATAGAAGCGATGACATACCCTCCTGCTTCATCATCCTCTTCCTCCTCCTCCCCTCAAGACACACACGCCAGTTCTAAAGTAAAGGCTAGCTCCTGGCTCGAGTCCAAGCGCCACGCATCTATCCATGCACACAGGGGCAGTGAATAAAAATGGGCATTCTTCTTTCTCTCCGGACCACTTCCACAGGCAAACCACACACGAAAACCAGAAAAAAGCTCCAGCAGCACGAAAGAAAGCTCGAGCGAGCGAGGGAAGGAAGGAATCGGATAATCTCCAGCTCCGAGCCAAGAAATCAAAGACGCAAGCTCTTCCTCACCTCGATTCGCGTGAAATTTCGGTACCGCCGCCGCGCGCCAAGCGTCTTCGCTCCGCCCGGGCAAACAAAGAACAAGCGCTCCAAACCCTAGTGGGGCCCAAGATAGAGAGTTTCCGTACAAGCGCACGGACTAGTAAAATTTCACAACAAGAAATGTTCCTTGGAATCTTCCGCGGGCTTCAAATTTTCAAACTTTCCCGCGCTTTTCCGAGCTCCTCCCCCTCCTCGCACCTTTTGCTCGGCGAGCATCCGGTACTTGTCCCGGCGCGTGAATCCTGTGCACTGGAACCCTAGCGCGCGCGCGATCCGGTGCTGGATCATGTTGGCGATCTCGAAGCTGCTGGCGCCGCGATCCGTCAGCTCTTGCAGGCTCAGCCTCTCCAGGAAATTCACCTCGTACCTGGGGCGCGGATTGAGCGCAAAGAAGAAGGGATCCATCGCCTTCCACCCGCGCACCGACGTCCCGTGGAAGAGCTGGATCTCGCAGTTCATGGCCACCGGCACGACGTTCTCGGCGATCTCCACGAAGAGCTTGGAGAAGCGCAGGAGATAGGGCTCGCGGCAAGTGGTGCCCTCCGGGCAGACGATTAGGTCACCCCTCCTCAAGTGGTTGCTGATCGTTCGGGCGTCGTGCGATCGACACCGTGTGAGGCGGACGGTCCGGATGGGCGATAGCAGCTCGCTCACCCAGCTGATGCTATACGTGACGGCCGTCACCCGTCGCAGCACCATGCCCGACAGCATCACCGGGTCGAGGAGCGTCCGGTGGGAGCACACGAAGAGATTCCCGGTGGCGGAGGATATTCTGCTTGGACGGGACGACGGAATATTCTCCGGGGGAGTTCCACTGTAGCGCAGCACGACGCCCAGCAGCGCCTCGGCGGCGAGGATGAGGGGGATGTTAGGGCAGAGGACAAGGATTAGGGATCGTGGGATGGCCAGCGCGATGCCGATGGGGAGCCAGAGGAAGATCGTGAGCGCCATGGCGGGCGTGGGGCGGACTGCGAGGCGGCCGTCGTGAAAGATCAGGGGTTTCAAGTAGTGCTTGCGCGGGACTGGGCGCGCGTGGGCGCTCGCCTCCACCACGAATTCTTCCTGGAACAAATTTGAAACAAGGAGCTTGAGCGAGAGCGATAGAGAAAATAAGAGAGAAGAGAGATTGATTGATTGATTGATTGATTGATTGATCTCGATCTATGGAGTGGAATGAAAATTTTGCCAGAGAGACACAGAGAGAGAGAAAGCGATGGATTGATTGTGATGGAGAAAGAGAGAACGTCGAAACAAATATCATCCGGGAGAAGAGGAAATTCTGCGAGAGAGAATGGAAGAAAGACAAGATTTCGCTCACCTTGCATTGCCTGACAAGATCGCGATCGCTGGAGCAGCAAATACCGATATCCGCCTGGACAGCCGGTGCCGGGATCGACGACGCGATGATCAACCCTGTGCAATACCCGCCGTCAGTGATCTGGAGCTCCGGCCCTAGAATCTGCTCGGCCCCCAAGAATTCGCGCAGGAAGGGCTCGATCAGCTGCCGAGGGCTCCTCGTCGCGACGACGCAGCGCCTCTTGCAGTTGACAAGCTTGCTGTAGCAATCCCAGCGCAAATCCTCGAGGTAGAACTTCGGCAGCACGGCCCTGGCCACGGATTCCACTGCCGACGCCTTGAGCCCGCCCAGCGCGATGAAGACGAGCGCTTGATCGAGGAGGCAAGACTCGAAGATCTTGGCGGCGACGAGCAGAAAGGGATAAGCAAGAAGCAGCGCAAACGCGCGGATAATGCTCCCGGCCTCGAACGCCACCAAGAACAAGTAGGGAAAGCCGCAAGACGATCGAAGCAGAGCTCCCTCCAAGACGCACAATCCCATCGTCTTTCTCGTCGGCGCCATTGCCGCCGCCGCCACGATCCTGGCGCTGCCGTTAGCCGTTGCTTGTGCCGGGCTCATGATTTCCCCCCGCTCCTCGATCTTGCTGGATTCTTTCTTGCCCGATCCTCCTCGATCGTTGCAGCGCCTCGCAAGAATCTTTAGAAATCCGTGAGCGCTCCTCTATCTACACTACGATCGCATCCGCGACTGCGAGAGAGAGAAACCTTTCTGAGCTTCGCGCTTCCCAATGCGCGAAAGAAACCTCTCCTATCACTTAGGTTTGCCAATAGCTTTCTTTCGTCTTCTCATCTCTCACGTGTAGCCACAGCCTCTGGAAATTCCGCGCCGGGAATGTGGTATAGAAATTCCCACCCGGAATGCGCCACCCTTTCAAATGTTTGGAGCCACTCTGTGTGGCTTCATCCAAATCTCTAGCCAAGAACCGATCCTACTTAAAATGACTAGCCAGTCAAACAAATTTCACCTGTGCTGTGCACCTTTTTTTACTCTCTTTTACCGGAGCGATGTGTGTATCGTTGTCCGTGAGATTTTACTCCCATGGAACAGATATGTTTGCAGTACTTTCACAAGCATCGAGACGATAAATCTTTTTTTGTCCCGAGAACGAAGAGAAAAAAATTTTGGGACGAATTATCCAATACATTAATCTGTACGGTATATATACTAAGCATTTTGATCGATTGATCGCCGGTCGGCCGATCAATCCAATCGTTTGAATAAATAAATTCGCTAACTCTTTTGTCCGTAGCTCCAAGAACAGATGACCCCCTTGTCCGCTGCTCGCATTTGGCTCTGGAGGATTTTGATCTGCTGCTGCTGCTGCTGCTGCTGCTGCTGCTGCTGCTGCTGCTGCTGCTGCTGCTGCTGCTGGACGATCGAGAGTGGAAGAACAGCGTGAGATGGAGTAGCGGCGGTGGCGATCTGGTGGTGGTGGTGGCCGTGGTGGCCGTGGTGGTGGTGGTGGTGATCGCTGGAAGTGGAAGAAGTACCTGGACCGGCAAGGACGATACCGTGATAGCCGGAACCATCGCCCGGGAGAACCGGAGTGACCAAGATCTTCGCTCCACTCTCGCCACCACGCCCAGCACTGCCGCTGCCGCTGCTACCACCGCCGCCACCCTCGCCATCGTTGCAAAGAACAAAGCTCCTCCCGGACGCGTCCCGGACGAGCCTCTTGCCGAGAGCCATGCTCTCCGCCGCCGCCGCCGCGGCCGCCGCGGCCGCCACAGCAGCGGCGCTCTCCGCCGCCGCCGCCACCGTGATCATCTGCTGCTGCTGCTCCGCCGCCTCCATCATGTGGCCATTGACAAGCAGGCACTGCTGCCCGTCTTCGAGCTCGATGATGTGACAGTCCTTCCCCACCAATAAACTTAGCTGCTGCTGCTGCTGGAAAAGCTGATGGTGATGCTGTCCCAGTCCTCCTCCTCCTCCATGCGTTATATATCCGGGTAGTAAATCACTACCACCACCACCACCAGCACCACCATTACCACTGCCAAGAGGAGCTTGGACCGGGATCAACCTGGGAGCTCCTTGCTGCTGCGAGAGCTGATATACACAAGACCCGGGTGGCAAGCTTCTCTGCTGCTGCTGGTGGATCTGTGCTGGACTGGCGTCGCCGGAGCTGTGCATATACGCCTTCATCATCGCGATTCGTGCCTTGTACGCTTGCGCGGTGGCTCCGCGCTTGGACTGGTTGACACTGCCGCTGCTGTCGCTGCTGGAAATCATCCAGGTCGGGACCAGCACCGGAATTCCCATTCTGTTCGCCACTTGCGGGGAGTCGCTGGTGGTGATCTTGGAGGCTTTCTCGTGCGGCTGCTGGGTCCAGTCGCCGCCAGCCTCTCTCTTGTGTGGCGAAGCTGTTCCCGGAGCATAAGTGTGTCGAGCTGACGTCGATTTGTCGCTGGGGCGCACGGACCGTTCCCCAGTGAATTCGACGTCAGACGGCGAAGCTCCTCCTTTGGCAATGGCAGCCGCCTTTGAAACCGACGTTGGACTGCCCTTCTCTTCGTCCGCATCGTCGTCATCAATGACAATGACGTTTGCCTCTGCCTCCTTTTGTTTCTTCGCAGCTAGAAGCCAAGGCGGAAGATCGCCAGCGTTTTTCTGATCGCCACCCGGGCGAACTTTCTGCGGTTGCTGCTGCTGTTGTGGCTGATGTTGTTGGCTGCAGCTTTTATGAAGGCAGCAGTTCAGTGGTGCACCTCCCAGCTTGGCGGAACCAAGATTTATCTGGTGTCCATTGACCTGACTCAATATCCCATTCGGCAGAAGCCTCCATGTACCTGGGAGCGGGATCTGGGAGATTGCACTGTTGCTGGTGTAAGGAACTGGCATCTCTTTCCCCAGAGCAAAAGTTATATGCTCGGCTGGTGCGGCCGACCTCGACGAGCAGCAGCAAGGAGTATGATATCCGGTGGCAGCAGCGTGTACGCCAGGAACCGAGAAGCTGTAGGGGCTTTTAGCTCCTTGCACATCTTTGTGACCCGACTCCACCATCACGTTCTGACCGAGGAGCCGCAGGACGGGTTTCTCCGCTTTGGCATCGCTGGACGATGCCTGAGCCTTGAAAGAAACCTGGTCGACGTCGATCACCGCTGGACGATCGCCGCCTTGCATCCACCCGGGCACTTTCGGAATTTTGGTGGAGGAGCTTGGGAAACACTGCACTGCTTCTGTTGGATGGCCAACATTCTGGAACGGAAACTTTGACTTGTCCAGAGCCGATACTCGTCCGGGTAACGCCTGATAGTATCCATGCACGCCTGTTTCTTTGAAGGCGACTCGATCGGTAGCTGTTGCCTTGGCTTCGCTAACCTGATTTTCTCTGTTGTAAGGACCCGCCTTTGAACTTGCTTCGACAACAGGTACCACCGAGACGCAGATGCTGTCAGAAGCCTGGCTGCACAAGTCGACCCTTGGTGCTGAAGCCTCGCTGTTTCCGATACTGGTAACAACAGAAGCGGGCGTCGAGGGAGTGCTGTTAGTCTTCGCCAAGGAGGCTCCTAACGTAGCCATCACAACCGCTGCCTTCCATGTTGGATTGTTGAAGTGGCTGTAGCCAGTTACCGAGTCGACTGAGGTTGATCTCAGGCTGGATATCATAGAGTCGTAGAGCGGAATAGACCTGGGACGCTGCAAAGCATTCTGCTTACAAGGCGTCATGACCTCCGCCACGATCTTGTTCTGCATGCATACCTCAGATTGCGCGGCTGTTGACACAGCCGGAGGGGCACTTGTTGCGACTATGGCCGGATCAGCAGGTGGACCAGTGTTTGCAGCTTCCATACACGCCTTGGCTCCCTCCGCTGATCTATCAGCATCCGCTTCACTTTCCACCACCGCAGGTACAGGAGGACCTTCAGGAATCTGCGTATCCGGGGGTGGCAAAGCGTCCGGAGCATCGATGGACGTATCAGTCTGGGTAGGTGCCTCGACTCCTTGAGGCTTTTCGCAATCTGCTTTGTTGGAGGAGGAATCGTCAGTGACATTGACTGGCCCCGTACACGCTGATCTTTTCGCTTTTTCTGGCGTCTTCTCCTGCTCCACCCCAGCAGGCTGCAAACTCGACGGATCCAAGCAGTTCGCAGAGCCGTGGCTCTCCGAAAGCTCGCAAGACTTCTCCAAGTTGTCTTGGGCCTGCATCGGGGGCAAGTTATTAGAGCAGAAGAGAGCAAAACAAGCAGAAAGCAATCGGAAACTAGCAAACTAGCTCTCATCCTGCTACAACCAGCTCTGCTTCACTGTCCTGGTAACTATAGAAGTCCAAGTGGCGGACACGCCTGGCAAAACTCTCGTGATCACGTCCCGTCTAAACAATTCTAACAACGATGTCTCGGCTGAAACCAAGTGGCAAACCCGCAAAGTCCTCGTTGTTCCCGTCCCGATGCTTGAATGCAGGCATCCACGTGGACAGGAACCTGGACCACAAGGATTGCCCACCAACCAACTCCTGCCACCTGGAAAGGCCAAGCTCCCCCGCCAATGGGCCCTCAATAATGCTCTCGACGACGTTGCCATGCCTACTCTTCCCCTTCTCCTGTCGTTTCCGTTGCTCTACAAATCATCCACTTTGCGCTCTCCCACCGCATAGATGCCCATGCACCTCTAGTTTCAACCTCGCATCGGCCTTACCTATCCCTAGATCTCGCAGCAACCTTCGTGCCTGATCCTGTTCTAGTGCCTGTATCCCCCTGGAGTATCCCTGGAAATCCCTGCTTCCACCTCTATAAACTCTAAAAGCTACGAGCATATCAAGCATGAAATGAAACAAGAGTAAAGAGAACGTACCTTGGAATGGCAGTAAGTTCCCGAGCTGATGGACGGAGTCCATGAGCTTGTCACCTCCACGGAGTTGCCGGAGCAATGACGCATCTTCTTGTGCGGCTCCGACCACTCGCCCGACTTCTGGACGCAGTTCCCTGTGCACTCCCGCCGCCGCCTGCGAGCCGCCCGCTCCCCGGCGTCCGGCTTGATCGGGCTCACCAGGATCATCGACCGGGAGCCGCGGGACCTTGATCTCAAGTTGCGCTGCGCTTGCCCCGACGAGCTCTTGCTCGCGGCCGCCTCCTTGTCAGCCAGGACGACGACATGGTTGGGCGCACGTCGCTCACGTACCACTGGCTCGGCGTGCTTGGCAGTCGAATCGGACTTGGGAGATGGAGCCGGATCGGCAGCAATTATATCTGTTATGGACCGCATTTTTTGCACCTTTGCGCAGGAGCCCTTGTTGTTGACGGTGGTGTTGGTGCTGCGTAGCGCTACGACTCTCTGGCACTTGTCAGTTCCTGGCGCCGCCGAGAGGCACCCATCGATGTGAGCGTTGAGAGCTGTTACGGAGTGACACGAAAAAGAGGCGCAAACCGGGCATACATTCTGCTGCTGCCCATCCTCTCCCACGCCCTCGTCACCTGTGGCTGGCTTGGAAGCACCAGCGTCATCTTCCCTGGCCGACCCTTGAATTGCTTCCACCTCTTCTGCTCCCGTGTCGGAGGCCTTGTCTTCTATGCAGTCCAGGCCCTTGTCTTTCGCTTCCCCTTCCTCTCCCCCCGTTTGGCCTGCTGCTAAAGTCTCTGACGCCGCAAGCGAGACACCGGCTTCCATCCTCTTCGATTCCTCCCCTGGGCCGTCCAACCCCTTGGACCCATCACGGGCCTGATTCTCAAAGTGGAATTGCACCTCGAGCTCTTGCTCGCCGGGATGGACCACTTCCGTCACCACGGCTCTAGCGTCGGCTTCGTCCTCCCCAGAAGAAGCTCTTACGGTTGCCACACTCGTCGGCGCGGTGGCATCTAGATGTGGCAGTGACTTCCCCTCACTCAGGTATCTCTGCAAGAGCTCCTCGGAAAACGGCCAGGTCTGCCTGATGTCCTGCTTGCGAACTAACGAGACGAAACCTCTGCAGTCACAATGATCAAAGAAATGATCACTAAGAGAAGAAGAGAGAGAGAGAGAGAGAGAGAGAGAGAGGAGCTTCGCATCTAAAAGTAAAGGAAATGGGAAAACGTACCGTATGGTGAAATTTGACGTCAAGCAATTCTTCTCGGGAAGAGCTAGATCGAATTTGTTGCTGCTATCGGTGGCAGTGGCGGCGCTCGGCGCCACTGCCGTTCCTCCTGCAGCCTCTCCAGCCCGAAACGCAAAGATTTCGTCTCCACACGAATGGCGCTGCTGGTGGTGCTGGCATATCGGCGGTGCCACCTCCATACTCGTTCCCGCACCTTAATCCCGCTGCTGCGCCATTCGATCGGTCGCCAGGGTCAAGAACACGACGAAATATCGGCCACTGCAGAGAATGGAGACGGCCCTGCCGAAGAAATCACCACTCGTTCTTCTGGAAAACCTTGCCGCCGGGCCTTGGCTTCTGGAAATCTAGATATTCTCCATCCCAAACTACAATGCGCGCTCTAGCTATGCCGATCTACAGTCCATGACCTAGCGCCGGTGAGCGCCAGCGCTCCATCGCGGATCGATGGCACTAGGGCATTCGTATCGAGAGAGAGAACGAAGAGAGAAGGAAAAGGGAGGAGAGAAAGCTAGGTAGACCGATGAATGGAAAATGAGAACTGGAACACCACAACAATGGGGGTAAAATAAAAATGAGCGCGGTGACTTCCCACGCGGTGTACTGCCTCCGCTGTTCACATTCACCGCGAAAATATCCTAGTGAGCATCCCCGCCGTTGAATCGACGCCGCCCTAGATTCGATCATGCTGACGTGGATATTCCTGTCATCTTTGCCGTCCACGTGGCCAGATATCCGGCCCTTGCAGTCTTGTCAAGGAAGTGGCGTTGGGTCCCAATGCACAAATTCTTTCCCGGTGATAGTTCGCGTAGAGATTATTTTTAGGGCTATATAAACAACAGCCGGTGCTCGATACACCAAGAGCTCGATTGACTTGTATAATGCGAGGAGCTCTCTTTTGTATTATTGAGTGTTTAGTCAACTCGAGGACAAGGCAATGGCCTAGATTGCTCCCCCAATCGTTGGTTGGACTTGGGAGCCGTCGATTGACGTATGTGCCCCAGGGGAGTCCGCCACCTTTCCGTTTGGAAAGGGCATGCAAACAAGGGGTTAAAAGGGGCGAACGCTTCGAAGGTCCAGGAACCATCCGCCCTAAAAACCATCGCCGCCAAAAGTCTCCTCACAAGGCGACGCTTTGGTGCCCCGCGAATAGCGAATAGCGAATAGCCGGGCCTCGGATTTAAATCTCGGAGCGTGACGGCTCGCATGAATATGCGAATGTTTGGGTCGGCTGATGCCGCCCCCAGTCAAGACGCCGCCAGTCATTACCTGGTGGCCGAATAGGAGTTTGTGTGTTTTTGACAGGCCCACGTACGAAACTCCCACGTGGCTGTCCCATCTGGCTTGAATGTATGGTATGGCCGGGCCATGCATTCATCGGCATGGGCATGGATGGCCATGGGGGCGTTACCAAGGGCCTTTTCTCGGAGTCTGGAGTTTCAAAACTGGGGCTATCGCATCGCTCCATTGAATTAAATGCTTTTGCATTGTTTTCTCACACTCTTTTTAATGCTTCTTTTTTCTCGATTTTGAAACACACGCCCGACAACAACTTGTTACCGCCCCATGGAGGCTGCCCGTGCTGCCCGTACGGGAGGGAGGGTGCTATGTGCAAATACGTACCTTGCTGCCCATCCCGCCCTAGCTACTTTTATTGTAGGTTAGTTGAGGTTAGTTCAAAAGGCTGGGAAATATCCTACAGTCCGTGCTGGCACAAGAAGCTTTTCCTTTTTCAGAATATAAAATCTGTATAAATTGGTATTTGGATAATTAGAAGTTCTTGACCATGACTTTTTCAAGCCCTAAATATCCTCATAGTTTAACAAATACCATGACAAACTAAAGTGTATTAATTTAAAAAGTAAATACTTTCAAGAAAGTGAAAATTATTTCTATCTTTGAAGATATGTTTCACTATATAACTTTATATTGAGTACTTCTACCACTAAGATTATCATGCATTAACTAGATTTAGTTATGTTAATAATTTAAATATAAATCAAATCTTAGATATTCTTAAATATTTAAATGATATTTTTAATTAAATTTTTGTAAAAAAAATTAAAAATAAATATTTTTTCTTATGCTGAAAAGTTATCAAACCTCCTTTTCTGTGTGTAAAAATATTACATGCAAAAAGTTATATACACATTAATTTTAAATATATACACATGGCACAAATAGATTAAAAAAATTAAAAGTTGAAATATAGAGATTATTAATAATGTGTTTGTTTAGGATATATATATTTTATATATTTTATTATATTAAAAAATATAAAATTATATAAAATTAAAAAATACTTTATGTTTTTTAATCACAGTCTTAAAATTTTTAAAAACCGGGAGCATTTTATATCCAAATATTTGTTCAACTAAGTGGCTGATTTATGTATGCCTCAATTAATTTATAAGAAAATTTAAAATTTAAATATTTTTCAATAAATTGGGCCAACTAAAATAAAATTGTAAAATTACTCTTTATTTTGGAAAATGTTTTATCAAATAATAATCATATATATATATATATAATGGTTTATATATAATGATAATCTAGAATGATTGGAATTAAATCATATGTATAAATAAAATAAAACCAAAAAATTAAAATTTTCAACTTATTATGATCTAAGCCTTTTGAATCTTCATTATCCAATTTATATTAACTTTTACTATAGTCAATTATTATAACAATGAATATGAGTAATGCAACAATTATAAATAGTAATAGTCATGTGATAGTTACATCACTTTTTATGTAATTGTTACCAAAAAGTAAATATGTAATATAATATAATGATAAATTATATGTATATATACAAATATTATAAAGTTCACTTTTATAATTTAGGAAAAATGTAATAAATAATCATATTTCTTGTTTAAAGTATTTTAACTTAATTCTAAATAACAAAAACCTTACAGATATTCTTTAAACAATTTTATACAATTTCCCAGTGTTAATGGAGTAATGTATATCGAGGCTTGCGGCATCCTCAAGGCTGGATGTTTTGTCCATGGCTTGATCCAAGAGTGTGGCTTCCAGAGCGTCCCATTTGTGGGAAACTAAAAACATGTATATTGTTGGGCATGCTCTCTGAGTCATGGCAAAACCAATCTGCCAATGAACCACGCAAGATGGTTGCAGCATCCATCGAGGCATATAGAATTTAGAATATTTCAGGAGCAAAAAGCTACCACCTATGGTCCTCCCAAGATTGCATTCTCCAAATCTTCCCTGCAAAGTGCATAGCTAAATTTCCGCTCAATATCTCTCTCCAAGTTACCAGGGCCGCCCTTGAGGTATCTTAAATCCAAAACAAGAGGTAGGAAGCAAATCAATAAAAGAAAAGAGAAAACAAAGAGACAACAAGCCACCTGATACGAAGCTCCGTGATCTCCAGAGACAATTGCGCGTGCCAATCCGACCTCTCAATCACCCACGAAGCTCTCTCCTCGGCCGACTGTAAGAATCCCAAGCTCTTCAGCCATGCCTCAATGCAGGGAAGGCTGTGAGAATACAAAGCCGACTTCTTGTCAGGGAGGAGCTTCAGCCATTTGTCCGTCGCTTCGGCTTCTGGCGCATTGCTTCGCTTGTCCGCCCTCACTATCACTACGCTACTTCCATAAGTAACACCCTTTCCTCGTCGGCAGAGGCTAAAGTATCTCTTCCTGGATAAAAGTGGAACCCCCTGCTCGAAGTACCTGATTCTAGAATCGAGAACCCATCCCGCTGCACCGGAAAAACCACCAGGAACACTAACCAGCGACGCCATGCTTCCTGGAGCAGCCCTAAATTGAAAAACCGTATTCGCGGTTAGAGAGAAATATAAGTACCTCCGAAGTACCTGTGATGGAAGCTTTCACTGAGCTGGTGACTGTCTACGTTGGAATCCATTAACTTGCGGTGAGAGGGTGTGATTCGCGATCCCGTTTGGTGGTAGAAACACCCCTGTTCCCAGTGACATTCCACGTCCAAACTCGAGGCTCTGAAAAGATGAAGATAGCCTGGCCAGTGCGTTTGTGGATGACGATTGACGAGCCTGTGGTCTAGACGAATCTACCTGCGGTTTCAGCCTTCCAAAAGCTATCAGCACTTGCCGGCTCTGGGAGGGAGAAACCGCGCACTGAACTAGTTCCTTGCTGTTTCTCTGGAGCACCAAGAGGGACCTGTAAAAGGAGGACTAGCATTGTTGTTGTCAGAGAGAGAGAAGAGCAGCGTTTACCCCGGAGCAAGTGTCAGATTGAATAGTTTACCGGCGCTTCTCATTTCCAGATTCCTTTTGAATGTCAACAAGGACAGATCTCTACCGAAAGTCAGAAAGGACCGAGACAATGAAACCATGTATACTGGTTGGTCAAAACTATGATACGCACGAAGGAGCATAAAATCCTCCTGTAAACGGCACACAGCATTAAAAAAAGTAGAACCAAAACAAAAAGCTGTAATACCGGCTCAAACACACTAATGCTGCACGAGGTTGGCCTTTTATCTGGAGGAATATCTTGTAGCTTGAGCACGCGCTCGAGAAGAAAATCCAAAAACGGGGGAACGCCACCTTCTGCTACAATTTCCTCTGCAAGGTTTCCGTCAACAGAATAGCTTAGTGTCGATAACAAGATCAAAAAATGCGTTTTCTTTTCTGTACCCCTTGGCATTACCCTTTGGCATGGAAGACAGTTCTTGCTCTTGTTCTTCAGCGATAATTTCTGATGGTATCGTTCCAAACTGTATCGATCGCGATCGCTTACGTCCTGCTCAAAGCTCGTAAGCGCTGAATCGTTTTAGAGATACAAAGTTACCTTCGCCACTTTTCACGATGTGGGACTGAGTCACCGCAGCCAGCAATTCAGTAGTATCAGCGACATTTTCATACACCTCCAGTCCTTCAAGAACATTCACCTGTTGAAAACTATTAGCGATGCCAAAAGCTCGCAGCAACGCAAACAAAAGCTTGCCTAACAAACAAAATCAAAAACCTGTTCGCCTTCAACGTCTTCCAATCCAACAATAAACTTAGGGGAGGAAAGGTTTGCCGCAGAAAGAGAAGACTTACTAGCAGCCTCCTCCGCCACAGACAAGGTGGACACCTTTCTTGACAAAGCTTGATCTGTGTAAACCAAATCCATTAGAGACCACCCAAGCAAGCAAAAACTCAAAGAAAAAAAAGTTTAGAGATGTTCTTCCAAACCTTCGAGGAGTAGTTCCTCTTTACTGGATGAATCCTCCTTGGCAGGCTCGCGGAGATCCTTGTTTTGCTGGAAGCTCGATCCTCGAAACGAGAATTTGCCAGAGCTTGGCAACTTCTCGCTGGCTTGAGCGTGATGGATCTTCTTTAGAGTCACCTGCTGGAGCGCCATGAGAACCTCCGCCACGGAGTAGTAGTGCTGCATGTGGAGAATGGGATTCCAGCTGAATCGCCGCTGCTGGATGCAAGCCACAACCAGATCATACTCCCCGGGCGAGCCGCTCATCTGCAAATGCTGGCAAAGCGCATCGATAATCGCATTGGCGGCCGCGAATTCGCCCCTCAGCCACGAAATAAATCCATCCCTCTCGTCGGGAATCCAGTGCTGGGGATGGATCTCGGCGGCGCGGATCGGCATTGGCGCGGCCGGGGAGGAGGGATTTGCCGCATCGGCGGCCATATCGGGAGCTATCGAGAGGAGATCGCCGCGAAAAGAGAAATCTAGCCAGATCGTGAGGGGAATCAGCGGTAGAACACGAAAGGCCGGAATATTTCGATCCCTCTTACCATCGATCGCGATTCTTCCTCGCAGCGCCTCGTGGACACCAGGCAAAGATGCGAAGATCCAAAGTAGAATAAACCCTAAGCGTCTTTAATCCGTGTTAATAAAGCACTCGTTAACCTCACTTTACCAGCTTATCTATTTGGTGCTCTTTTGGAGAGCCTCTTCCAAAACTTTTTGCAGCGTTTTTCTTCTTCTCATCGCGAGCGCAAGACAATCCTGGAAAAACGAGGAATCGAGGATGCCAAGCTTTCACGATTTTGATTCTAGGAGAAGAGAACGAACCTGGATTGTTGCTGTAGAAGCAGTGGTCGATCCACCAGCCTTGTGGAGAGCGATGATTTTCTGGGAAGAGTTGAGGATCACGATCATCTTAGTGTCTAAAATGGCTTCCTCCTCGGCTGTGGGATCCGCGATCAAGGACTTTTGGTTCATGGCTACTGTCAGCGCGAATGGAAATTCACCGAGGTTGAGGCGTCGCGGTTGAGTAAACTCGATCCCATCGGAGCTTGCTTGGGCATCTGGAGGAGCCTTCGTGATCTTTCCCTCGCTTCTTACACAGATCGCGGGTACCTGTACTGTCCTGAAACTCTCAGCGAAAGAACAGAAGAGAACAGAGTGGCTTGGAGAAACTTACAATGCGCTAGAGCAGCTACTGACGCGAGCAGTGCTGCGTCAAGAAGTGATCCATCGGCGTCTAAGCAATAAACGTCCTGGGAAAGTTGCAAAGAAAATAAGAACCAAATATGAATCACTGTGGTGATGCTACCAGATAGATCATCCAAGCGGCTTTACCACTGACGATCGAGAGCTCACGTAAATCGACAACACCGGAGCTGGAAGAAGAAAAAATCGGAGCTTTGGGCATGAAGGAAAAAGAAAACCATCATACCTCAAGAGGGCATTTTGCAGCTGCTCGGTTATGACATATGCCTCCTCTGCTGGCCTTCCTGGCCTCACTCGAGGCGAGCAAATCGGTGGCATTACGAAATCTACAGCTGCTCGAAAGAAAATTCATACAGTTCAAGACTTCGTCTGAGAAAGGACTCACACAGGCAGCCTTGATCGGGTGTATCAGCAGCCGGCTCCATCGTCTCTAGCTTCGCTCCAGCCAGCATTGTCTATCGCAAAACCTCCCGAGTCCATCCAATCAATCGATCAAATCAAAGAGCAAAGTCTCACAAATCTTACCGTGTTTCCAATCTTGACAAGCGCCGATCCGTCCGCCGACGACACAGCGTCTAGAAATCCACAAATGCGTCAGAATACTTCGGAAGAAATCACGAATCCTCCTGCCAGGAAGAAATTCCCCACTCACTGAACGACACCGACGTCGGGCGCGATCGCGTGAGCGGCCTCCCATCCGGCCGCACCGACGCATCCAGGTAGCGCTCGAGAAACTGCGCGGGATACAGGCGCTTGAACGCATCCACCTCGACGTCGTCCGCCATAGCTAAAACCCTAAGAATTTCCTCGTGTGCCCTAATTAGGGCTGACGTGACACATCACGCCACGTCAGCAGGAGTAGGACAAGCAGGGTTTAAGAAGGGACCCCATTTCCACACAAATATCACCCCCTGGGCTTTCTTTTCTATTCACAAAATTTGGGGGCTTTCTCTCTCTCCTTGGGCGCAAGAACACCATCGCTACAGCAGCGCGAGCAAGGGTCATGTCTGGGCGATCTTACATGCACTACTCGCCATCGTCCGCATCCACTGGCAGCCTCTCGCCTCAAATCGGCGGCCTTGGAAGATCTCCCAACGCGCTGCTGGAGCATGACAAGTGAGTAATCCATACCTCGCATCTCCCATCTCTTCCATCCCATCTTGCTCGCGCTCGCGATATTTCGGTCGATCGCTGGCGATATTTCGATCGGTAGGTCATCGAGCGTCGCGGATCGGAGGCTTCCGGCTGGATTGGGGCCGCGCTTAGAATGTAGGGAAGAATGGGGTGTGGTGGAGCTCAGAGATCAGAGATCTGGGTTTCTGATCATCTTTTTTCTCTTCCTTTCTTTTTACCTTTTTATTTCTTCTCTCATCTCGTTTCATCGTTTCTTTGTCTCAGGTACTTCACAGAGTTACTTATGGAGCAAGAAAGTCTGCGACCTTTCATGATGGTTCTTCCTCACTGCAGCTTCCTACTTAATCAGGGTACGTTACATACACTTGGATCGATTTAAAGTTTTGATCGGTTGTCTCATTTCTCGAGCAGAGATTCTTCGAGTTTCTAAACTCATAGGCCAGTCACAACTTCTAGACCAGGACACTTTGGACATGGGAAGCCCCCTCGGGTTGATTTCTAATGGAGGAAGCAGAGATTTAAATGCTTGGGCTGCCATGCAGCACGAGGTTGGTCATGCTTTTCTCTTTGGTTTTTGTTCGTTCTCTAGTTTTGAGCTCGATCTTCTGTTTCTTTTTTTTTTTATATATGATCCATGCAGAGGACTGTCTTACCTCTCTGGCATGGCAGCCCTGCCGGTTCGCCTGGACCGATTATAAAGAAGACCTTGCGAATCGAGATTCCTACCGATGATTATCCTAACGTAAGTGTTTATCATTTCGTGCGTTTTGCGTATGCGAGACGAGCTCTTTCGTCATTTCTTGCTTGCTTGCAGTTTAACTTTGTGGGCCGCCTTCTTGGGCCGAGAGGACTGTCGCTGAAGCGTGTCGAGAACGAGACCGGGTGCCGCGTGATGATAAGAGGGCGAGGGTCGATCAAGGACGCAGCAAAGGTATGGGTTTTTCTCCCCGCGCACGGCCGTTTCATTTTGTTGCTTAGAGCTCTCTCTCCAGGAGGAGAAGATGAGGGACAAGCCTGGCTACGAGCACTTGAACGAGCCATTGCACGTCCTCGTGGAGGCGGAGCTTCCGGCCAACCAGATCGACACGCACTTGCAATACGCGCAGGAGATAATTGAAGACGTGCTTCGGCCACCTCCGGTATCGCTTTTTTTCTATTAAGGTTATCCTCTCTAGTTCTTAGCGCACAGAAGTCACTAGCTATCTTTTTTTTCACAATAAGTTTCCGTGACTGCTGTCCACAGGACGAGTCTGTGGACGCCGTGAAGAAGGCGCAACTCCGGGAGCTGGCGATGCTAAACGGTACACTACGAGAGGATAGTCCATACTTGACAGGTTCGCTGACTTCATTCAACAATCCCGGCATGAAGAGACCGAAAATTCGAAGATGACGAGGTGACCCTTTGGTATATAGCTAGGAAGGAGAGAGAAAGAAGTACTAGGGAATGAGCGACGTTACTTTCTCGTACGTGGTGGAGGGGTTTTTGCAGATCCAATAAAGTGGGATGAACTCGCTGGACCTCTTGGGGGATGCATCCTTGGATTGGCACGGTACGTAGCTTTGCTCTTCACTTTTGATCGATCTCTTTTCATCTCTTCTTCTCAGGTAGGATTTATCTAGTGCTCAGGAGGAGTTTGCATCCTTGCTGTGTTCATCCCGCTCCACACTTGAAGAGTATAGCTGGGTACGTGAGAAGTTTGCGAAGTTTTTAAGGATAGCCAAGAAAACAGGAGTTGGCTTTCGTTTTGGTTTGAAGATATTTCGGTACCTTTTTTAACAGCGAGCTTAGCCGAGAGAGAAGAATGAAGAAGAATTAATTAGCCCAGAGATGAAGATGAAGAAGAAGGGGAAAAAGGACGAGTGTGTAAGTGTGTGTGTGTGTAGTGTTGACCTTTTTGTGGGAAAAAGAAGATTCCAAAAGTGTTTGATTCCTGGATTCGCTCCAGATTGATTGATCACGTATCCATGATCATATTGGTGGAGGGAATGGATTTGAAGGACTTGCTCTTGACTCTTTTTTGACAGTGTCAAAAGCAAGTCCCCTTGCTTGTGTGCACTACACTGCATGATTTGGACGTACCAATGCTGGAATAAATTGTACCAAATGGACGCCCAGATTCTATTCCCATTCTCTTGCGACTGTTTACCACAGGTTATCGAAGCAAATACCTCGCTTAACCACGTTACTAAGCTGTGTGTGTTCTTCCAAATCATTGTGGTTGGAACCTTGATGATTAAAACCAAGGTCAGGACGTGCACGCGATCACATCATTTGTTTGGGCGATTCTCTGCGAGTGGAGGGCTAAAGTCAAACTTTGGGTGAAATTTGTCAAAGGGTAAAAACCAGTCTCTCTTGACTCTATATTCTAGATTCCCCATGGATAGAAAGTTCTTTCCCCCCCCCCCCCCCCCCCCCCAAAAACAAGTTGCGGTACTCCCTAGAAATCGAGTAAAGTTTATATGCTCTCACCATATTCTACAGTATTCCCCTCTGGATCGAACCAATGTTTCTTTCCTCTTCTTTGGTACTAGAAAGCATTGATCTGTCCCACTGAGACTTGTATCATTTGCGCATTCCGGATGAGAGATTTCTCCATTTTATATTCTTTAACGCTCAAAGGCATAGTTTAAGTTTTCTTTCAATTTTATTAAGTTAATATTACTATAAATGCCAGGAACACAATGTTATATTTGATATTCTTTACTTTGATCATAAAATTCTCCATGCCAGTGACCACCAGCCCAGCATTTCAAAGTTCTTCCGTGCAGCACAAACTCGACTTTGTGTTCTTCTGGACAGACCCGGAATTGTTCTCCTGCCACGTGGCGGCCGTATGCGGAGTCCCGCCTTTCCTCCGGTCGAATATTCTCTGCACCATTCCTATCCGGAATCCGGAATGGTGGTGGCATCCACGGCCCAGATTTGCCGGGTCGAGCACAGGGACCAAATAAATAGTTTTGGAGGCCTTACATTGTTTGCCTCATTCAATCTCTTTGGTGGGTTTTCTACTTTGGTAAAAAAAACTATCGATGCTTCGCTTGGGTTGCTTGAAGATATTTTTCGAGTTTTTAAACTTGAATTCCATGGGAGCAGTAGTGAGAGTAGTGACAGTGGCGATCCTCTTCTAGTTTGTTTTTTCTAGCTTTTTTTTTTTGGAGAGACTCACCCTCACTCCACTTGGATATGTATCAAGTGAAAAATTTCTCTCCGGGTACGAATTTCATGTCCCAGCAGCAGCAGCAGCAGCCAACTTTGTACACTGGATTGAGCGTCGAGCAGGCGAAAATCTCTGCGTCCGAGCCTAAACCAAGGCTCCGATGGACACCCGAGTTGCATGAGCGATTCGTGGAGGCTGTCACTCAGCTGGGAGGAGCCGAGAGTAAGCCGAAAGTCCCAGAAATCCCAGAAAGTTCCACTATAAAGTTCTAATGTTATGCCTCTTTCTCGATCACTGCAAAGCTAATTCTAAAATTTGGATTGGAATGGATGTAGAGGCGACACCAAAATCCGTGATGAGGATCATGGGAGTCAAAGGCCTTACTTTGTATCATCTCAAAAGCCACCTTCAGGTTTTTTGCTTTTTTTCTTGGATTTTCTGGCTGCAGTTCTTGATGCTTTGCTTTCATCAGAAATTTCGTCTTGGGAAGCAACTCAACAAGGATACAAACGTCGCAAACAGAAATGGTAGAAAAGCTTTCCTCGCATTATACTATTACCTATAATGTTTCAAGCAAGCATTGAGTCCCAAACATTGCTTTACATTTTGTGTGCAGCCAGCATTGTATCATACAACACACCCAATGCTCAGGATTTGATAGCCCAGCAGGGTCACCTTTCCTCATCCTCATCTGAGTAAGCTCCATCCTTTTTCCCCAAATCTTCTGTAACCACTAGCTTGTCCTCATCACTTTGCAAGTTCTCAAATCACAGAAGCTCTGAGGCTACAAATGGAGGTGCAAAAGAAGCTACATGAACAACTTGAGGTAAAGTTTTCTAATTTCTGTAATTAATTATAATTTTTAATTTTCTTACAACTTATACAGGTTCAAAGGCATCTACAGTTGCGAATCGAAGCCCAGGGGAAATATCTCCAAGCTCTCTTAGAAAAGGCGAGGGAGACTTTTTCTGTAGGAGGCCAGGATCTGAACGCTTCAGTAAAACTGGAACTTTCCAAAGCTGCATCAAGTGCCGAGACCACGCTGGAGCAGCAGCTTCTTTTTGCGAGAGAACAGAGGCTTCAGTCACACAATCTTCATCAGGTATTAGCAGGCCAGCAGCAAAGTGGGATCAAGAAACCAACGAGGATATTTGGTGGAATTGAGCCCTGGATGCGTCTCAAACGCGAGGAGGGAATGTTAGATCAAGGTTTAGTAACACTTTCTTTGCAAAAGCCCCAAGCTCATCATATAATGGGCAACAAGATGGAGCAAGGTTTGGACCTGAACTGCAAAGAAGTGAACGGTCTTGACTTGAATGAGTTTGGTTGGGCAGCTGGTCCAACAGAATCTTAGCAAAAGTTAAGAAGTTAATATAATTCGGAGTAAAACGTTATAAAGATAAAGCTCGGTTTACTCCAAAAGGTAAAGAATTGTATATAAATCAGGGTTTCGGGTTGTGACTCTATATTTGTGCCCATGCTTCATAGTGAGGACCGATCTTGCAGTCTCACGAAGAGTTTACAGACTTGGTTGAACCAGAGGAAGCGTTCTCCACGGCTCCGTTCTTCGATCCAACATCCATACCCTAAGTCCAAGACGTTGACTTGGTCAAACAAAGGAAAGCGTTCTCCACGCAAGGCGGCTCTGGAAGGACCCAAGATAAGTTCTTTCGATAGCGAGATGGTGGACCAAGAACTTAGAGAGCCCAAGCGAAGAAAGGTGGACGGCGATGAGGGTGTCAATTTGGGCAAATATTCTTGCCATCAAATGGATTCCACATCTTCTTCATACACAAAGTGGAGACCCCAGAAGTACGACAGGCCTCTAAACATCACGGACAAAGCTCACTGGTTTCCACTGTTTGGCAAGAGACTGACCAAGGGGGACGTCGATACACTAGACACATTGATCTTCTCTGTCCACGAGGAGTCGAAGCTCCCAAGACTCGATGATGACGAGAAGATTCCCATGGAGTTTGTGGACGAAAAGGGCGCTGTTTGGGAGTTCGGATACAAGAAGGGGAAGAGAGGGCCGAGCTTGGTCACAAATCAGTGGATTCAATATGTGAGAGAGAACTCGCTCCAAGAAGGAGACATTGTGTGCTTCTACAAGAAGATGCTCATGAATCCCTTGGCACCAAAGTTTGGAATCACTTTCTTCAAAATTCCTAAGTCCAACTAGAAACAAAAAAAAATAAATCAGAGTATTATTAAGGTATAACTTGTAAGGTTGGACTTTGATTGTTGATGATACTGACTAATCTAAGTCAAAAGTTCCCAAGACTGTCTACCTTAGACAAAGCTGCAGGCCAAAATAGTTCAATAGTTACCGTCACAGCTCATTTACCTGATCTCTTCACCCAACGAGATAGAGAAAGAGACCCAACAGATGTGGACTTGAGGCTTGGATATTTTTCTAAAGCTTTGGATTGGATGGGGTGTTTTGGACCCTTCTGGCTCCTAAGGGGTGTGCAGTTTCGCCACCTTTTCAAAGAGTTTTCTTTTATAAAATTTACAACAAAAATAAAAAGCTGGAAAAGCATAGCAGCTTTTCAAGGGCATCCATCATCTTCCACTCTGTCTGTATACCTCTGTGCCCAAGCTGGGGAAGTTGATAACTAACTTACTCAATATCCAAAACAACAAGGTTGGAAAGGCCAATCCTATGCCAAAAAGACATTGAATAGCAACGTCCACGTTCACACACAAGTTGCTTCCAGAACTCAAATGAGCTGGCTAGCATGTTCAAAAGTCAGTGCTCCAGTGCTGGACCACCTTTGACCAGTCAACTCTTTGTTTTCCTCTTCTGTTTTTTTCACCTTTTTTTTTTCTTCCTAAATGAATGGTTAGAGTTCTACATTATAATGTAAAATTATGTAGAATGCCTGGGTCCTCTCTTGTGTTACTTATTCTCTTCAATGTTGTCTGTGCCGAGTTGAGTTCTAACCTCTATTCTTTCTGCCTGTTTTTTCTTGTTTTCTTTCCTGGTTTGATGTGGGATGTGGATGCGCTTTTTGTGGCTTTTGTGGGATGGAAGTGAAGAATCAATTGTGTGAGGACGAAGATGAGCCTCCTGCAGCTGAAGTGCCCTGTGACGATGAAGTTGGCGGGTATTGTTGATGTTGATGTTGTTGCTGCTGTTGTTGTTGCAAGGACCTTGAAGATGAAGATGTTGTGGGGTGTGTTGTCAACCCTGAATGAGAACACAAACACCTGCTGAATTGGTACGTCTCAATGGCGAATTCATTCCCACAGAAATGCAAGCTTGACTTTAGAAAGTCGGAGTTACCTGGTTGTGTAGTGGAAGCACCACCAGCTGAAGGTGGTGGAGAGATTGCAGACGCACCAGCAGCAGCAGTAGCGTTGTACATAGCCGATGCGGGCGGCGACGACGAGGACGACGGCGATGGCAGAGGTGAAGTTGGCGCTAGGGGTGAATACTGCACAACTTGAGGGTGGCCATGGTGGTGTTGCATGCCTCCAGCAGGAGAATAAGGCTGACCACCACCAGAGGGATAGGTGGATCCAATCTGGTTGAAGCCAGAGTATGTATACACTGCTGCTGGATTGCTTATGGTGCTGCTGCCACTACTACTTCCACCATAGACAGCTGAAAGTTGTGGATTCCCGTAAGGATACAGGCTCTACAAAAAAAAAAAGGAAAAAAAAAAAAAAAACAAAAACAAAAACACAAGGCAAAGACGCCATAGTACGAAAAGCTTGAGAACTATGGCCTCCTTGGGATTGCATAAAAAGCGAAAAAAAAAAACGAGGGAAAGGGATAAAGAAGAAGAATGTGTAGAGAGTATAGAGCTGGAGGAAGATTAGGGATGAGGGTGGTGGTAAGGTACCTGGTAAGAGTACTCCGAGGGGACGTAAGCGTATCTGGAGGAATAGGTTGGAATAAAACTTCGTTTCGATCGATCGATCGATCGATTGTGGAAGGAAACTTACCCGTATGGAGTGGCGGCGTATGAGAACCCGGCTTGAGGATACGAGAATGGAGCGGCGGGCATCTGTGGAAACGATGACGAGGCCCCGCCGGGAGAATAGCTTGCTGCCCCGACTTGAGAGCTCCCGAGAACTGGGGAGAAGTGACGAACTCTCGAAGCACCTGAATTAACAGCCAAGAATGTTTTTTAATGTCGAAAGCGCGTCCAGAGAGGGAGTGAGGACATAAGAGAACTAAAAAACCAGTTTTTTCCACGGCCAACAATCAAAGCTGATCGATCTTGTAGCTAGAAGTTCGAGAAATGGGAAGGAAAGAATCGTACCTTGATGAAATGGTGGGAACCTCGGCCTCACTCCAAGTGCTGCAAGGTTGCAGTTTGCTCGCCGGCCATCGATAACCGGCGTTGGATTCTCGCAAGCTCGTCGTGCCGACTCGGGATCCTTGAAAGTTACCTGTTCCAACCAAAATTTTTATCATTTCCAATGCTTGTGAAGTTACTGCAGCCAGGCATTTCGATCCACATTCGCTCGGGAAGACAAGATAAAAAAAAGGGTGGGGAAAAAGAGAAAATGGGAAAAAAAAAGAGAACTTTGCCGGATTCTCATCCGTTAGTTCACTTGGGTCCGTCACGAAAAGAACAAAGAAAAATCACCCAAGCAAGCTGGCAACTTGGCAAGGATGGGATCCACAGACAACCCAGCTAAGAAAAGTTCTTAGCCCAAACAGTGGAGGGAAAAAAGAAAAAGATAAAGGAAGAGCCAAGCAAGAGATAGATCATGGATAGAACCAAAACCAAGAAAGAATCGAGGAGACAAAGGAGAGAAGAAAGGAGTGAATTCACGCACAAAGCCATAGCCTTTGGAGCGCCCAGTGTTCTTGTCCGTGATCACCACAGCCTCTAGAATCTCGCCAAACTGCTCAAAGTACTGCCGCATCGTGTCGCGCTGCGTCTCCCAAGCCAGGCCCCCGACGAAGATCTTGGTGAGAGTGGTGTCGCCAAACTGAGATCCCCCTAAACCTCCGTGATGGACGTGCTGGGAATGAGAAGATCCTCCTCCTCCTCCCCCTCCCCCTTGCTGCGGCTCGGCCATTCTTCCTTCTTTTCTCCGGAAATCTTGGAGCTCCAAAATCCTTGGAACGATTTTCTAGAGCTACTGAAGATCAAACCCACCGGAGAGAGATGGTTCCTGCGCCAGCGCTTGCGCTCAAGCGGCGCTCAAATCTATAGCAAAGAAGGAGATTTCTCCGTGCGCTCCATGTATCCACCTGTGAGCCTTGGATCCAGGAAAAGAGGAAAAAATCCCTAGCGCTGTGGAGAGTGAGGAGTTTTAATAAGTGGGGAGGGGGAAAAGCGAGGAGCTTGCGAGCACTATGTTGGTCTCTTGCTGCTGCAGCGATCCATCGTCCATATGATGATCAAAGCCAGGCAGGGATGATCGAAAAGAAAGAAAAAAAAGAGAGAAAGGATGCGATTTTTTTTTTTTTTCCGGCGAAGAACAGCGAATGGACAGCGGGGACAACGTGCACGCAAGTATTACGAACAGCGAAGAGAAGCACACACACACACACACACACACACACTCACTCTCTTACAAAAACTCTTGGAAAAAAATCACCCAAGAAGGCAAACCAGGAAAAAAAAAGGCTGGGGCGAAGGCTGGAGGCAGCAAACAGCAGAGGAAACCAGCAGAGGTGAGATAATAGCAAGACAGCTCACTAAAGTCCAGCAGCCAGCCAAGCACAGAAAAACAAAAAAAATAAAACGAATTTTTTTTTTTATGGTTTTTCACATTTTTATTGAGATCATGGCACCCCAGTGACAAAAAAATGGACAAAATCGAGAAGGGAAAAGAAAGAGGGAATGTGGATAAATGTGCCAGGATAAAACAAGGATGGATGCTGGGAATGCAAGCAAAAGAGGAGAGAAGAGAGGGCGGTCCACCAAAAAAGGGAGAAGGGAATGAGAGCAGCAGCAAGCACTGGTGGATCTGGCAAGAGTGCGAAAAAACCTAGTTTTGGATCGTTTTTACAGTTGGAAGAGTCCTCCCTCTCTTCCGGGTTTGTGGGAAAATCTCGTAAGAGAAACTTTGGATAAAAACACTGTGATCTCGGTTACCATAGCTGCCCGGGCGGGCAGCGGGCAAGCCAGCAGCGCGGGCCCACACACGTCATCCGTTGCCGGTCGCTGACGTGGAAGATTGCCCCACGTGGCGGCTCCTGAGTTGTTGCCGTGATAAGTAAGGAATTTCGAAAGATACGGCGGTGGGAGGTAGATTCGGGGAATCCCCGGCGGGATTTGATTTCTTTACGAGGAAGCAGCGGCCACGACCATGAAGATGGCGCGGAGTGACCTAAAAATCTTGGTTTTAAAAGATTCTAACTTCCATGTGGACCATTGGAATCGACAGCGATGTTTGCTTGCTCGCCACAAGTTTGGGCGACGCGCGCCATTGTTTGGTGTAAAGGGCGGCCCAAAATCGAAAGCGTCGAGGCACATGTTGGGCGATTATTTATTTTCATGATCGAGAGCCCGAATCCCCAACTTTTGCCTAAATGCCTGTTCCCGCGCTTTTTCTCGTTCGCATTATAGGGTTCTAACTCCCGCTCTTTTTATTGTTTGAATTTAGGGCTATAAAGGCTTCGACCTAATTAGGGCCCTTGGGTTTAGGGTTTTGCGCGACGAGGATGAAGCAGGGGCGTGGGAAGAGCGGTAGCGATGGCGGCTTGCTTGGCGCCATGCGCATTCACGCGGTGGCGCTTCGCAGCACGCTCGAGGTACGCCTCCTTTCCGGGTAAATTTCCACGCGAATTTCTCCGATTTTCAGATGCTCAACGAGCCAGCGCCGTCCGCCTGCGAGAGAGTACCGTGGAGTGATGTCAAGAAAGGGGCGGAGGCTGTCTCGAAAGAAGCCACGACAAGTAAGTTTCCATCTCCTCGATGTTCCTTGATGTTATTCCCCTCCTTTTTGGGAGTTTTTAAAGCTTTGTTTCTCTCACTCAGCTGGAATGCTGTGGAGTGGGACTCCATCGGCGCAAGAGGCTGCGGACAAAGTGGAGAGCTACATCAACACACTGCAAGGCTTTCTCCTCTTGTGCCATGGGAGCACTGTGGGGGCTGGCCCGACTCTTTTATCCACCGTCCAGGCCGTCGCGAAAGGAGCGTTGGAATCCAGCTTGTCGCTGCTGGAAAGTGCCTTATCTCTCGGCTCTCAAGGTGATGCGAGCTTTTCCACGATTTCTTTCGATTCTTTTTCTTTGGTCGACTGGGTATTAAGTAAGCTTTTCTCTTTCTTTGTTGCAGCTGCGAGGCTGGAAGCACTACCGCCTCTTACAGGCTGCGTGTGGGAAGCTTGCGAGCTTGTACTGAAAGCTCCGTCTGATAATCGTACCGCAGTGGGAAGGGCCATTGTGCAAGTTGGGACTTCCATAAAGGACGTGGTACGTGAAATGAATGAAATTGAATTGGAGCGAGCGGAAGGAACGATTGATGACGATGATGGTGATGGAGGAGGCCGCGGCAGCCATTGCAGCAGCGAAGTTGACCCCGAGACACTGAGCTTTGACGCAAAGTTTTCACCTGGAGAGATGGACGTTGCCAGCGCTGTCAAGGATGTTATCAGCGCCGTGCTCGTCGTGGTAAGGCAGCTGCTCTACGTGGTTACCAAGGCACAGGATACCAGCGCTCCCGGGAAGCTCGAGAGCTTGGAAAAGATTTTGGAGCAGGCTAGAAGTATAGGTGTGGACGCAGACGAGCTGGGAGCTTCAGTGTATCCGCCACAGGAAATCCAGGAGATAAGAGCCAGGAGCCGGGGGATCGAGAGTAGCATCCAGATGGTTTTGGCGGAAGTTACAGCGCTGCACGGCAGCGTGCCCGACGACTTGGCTGTGGCTTGCGACAAGTCACAGGAGTCTCACTTGGGACTACACGCGAGGCTTTTGGCACTAGCATGACAAAGCCGAAGTTATGAGAATGTGAAGCTCTTGCGACCGACCCTCGTGTTCTAGATGGTCTCTTCGCGGTAAAGCTCGAGCAGCGAAGAAGACGAAGATGGGAGGATTGCTCCTGACTCTGATGGTGCTGCTGGCGATGGCTGCAGTTCGTACTGGAGCTCAAAACAGCAGCGTCGAGGCAAGAGCCTTCCTTCCAAAGCTAGACTTTTTCGTTAGTACTTCGGTTGTTTGTTCGTTTTTTCGTTCACGGCAGCTAGCGATGGGAGATTTGCTGGGGACTTTTATCGGAGCTTCTTCGTCTCTAAACGTATGGAACCCAAATGTGGAGATGACGAACGAGTACAGTGCCTCGCAAATCACTTTGGTCTCCAGCAACCTGACAAACCTCATTGAAATTGGCTGGCACGCAAGTACCTTTGCTTCTTTGGTAAAGTTTCTCTCTTTTCTCTTTTACCAGGTCTATCCTCTACTGTACGAGGACAATGAAACTCATCTCTTTGTTCGCTGGACGGTAACTGTCTTTCTTTGTATCGCTGCTTTGCTTGGAGACTGACTTTATATCTTGATAGATACTCGATGAAAGCGGCCGGATTGGATGCTTCAACACCAATTGCCAGGGATTTATCCAAACCTCTACCAACATAATTGTGGGACTCACACTGGACAACATGGTCTCGGATTTAAATGGAACGCAGTACACTACGGCTCTGGCTGTTCTCAAGGTACAAAAAAAGCATTTGATTCTTCCAGTCGTACAAAGATCTCTAAACCACCACCATTGTCTCAGGATGGTCAAGGAGATTGGTGGGTCTACAACGATAACGAGAAAGTTGGATACTTCCCTTTCGGCCTGTTACCCGAGATGGACAGCGGAGGAGCCGCTATCGTCTCTTTCGGTGGCCGAGTCTTAAACAAGTGGAACGAGAACCGCCACACGTACACCGAGATGGGCAGTGGCTTCTTCCCTCTCGCAGGCTACGGCTTTTCTGCTTTCCAAGTCGATCTCGTCGTCACGGATGCTGACAACGTAACAACGAAACTGGTTGGCGAGCATCTCATACAGCTTACCTTTGACAACGTTGGCGATTGCTACTATACGTACGTCGAGCAGCGGACTGGAAGGCTCTACTTTGGTGGCACCGGCTACAATCCCAGATGCCAGACGACCACCTGATAGATCTTTGTAAGAATCCTTCGCTTAAGGTACCCTCCCTCTATGGAGTTTTTCTCTTGGATCCTTGTCTCTTGTCACGGTGTTTAGAAACCATCGAGAAAACCTGCGTGGTGGTGTTGTGAGAGTTTTGAGAAACTAGCTTTGCTTGCTTACCTTTTTCACTCCACTAGTGAGTCCCATTTTCTCCAGAGCCGAGTACTTCACCCATTGCGTTCTTGGAAGTGCTTTGGCCTCCATAGCAGCGTTATCATCTAAAGCCAAGAACTTGATAAGAAACTTGATAAGAGACTATATCACTTACCGGTGGAGGAGATTTGTAACCATTCCACGAACATATTGAGCCGGATGTGTGAGAAGACATGTCTGTAGCTTCCAACTTCTTCGCGAGTCTTGACACTGGACTTGTCCAGGCTTAAGCCGAGAGAGCTTCGCAGGTACTTGTTGACGCTTGTTCTTCTCGTCTTGGCGGAGGTCTTTGGATCTTTAAGCAACACGGCCGGGAACTCCCACAGTCCGGCAAGCAAACCATTCTCGGGCCTTTGTACGAGGAGGAACAACGAGCCATCGTCTCCAAGTGGAAGAAGTTCCACGACGCACACGGCAGTAAACTCTTCTCGCGGTGCCGCTTTGATGGACTTGGCTGGGAAATCTGTGACGCTCACGGCCACTTCCTTGTCAACTGACTGCTTTTGAAGAAGAAAAGCCTTGCAAGAGCCGGCTATGGGACACCCCGAGCACAAAGGAGCCTTTGTCTTGCACACCGCAGAGCCAAGATCCATGAGCGCTTGGTTGAAACTTCCGGGCCTTTCCAAGTCTACAATCTCTCCCGCTAGTTTCCTGGAAGAAAAATTTTTGGCATGAGAGTTCCAACTTGCGAAAAGCTTACCATAAAAGTTTGGACTCTCGTGTTGCATCTGAGATAGCTCGTAGCCGAGAGATCACACGGATGACATTCACATCCACTGCGGGCACCGGCTGTGAGAAAACAATGAAAACAAAGCAATGAGATAACAAAGAACAAAAAAGAACTTAAATGAAAAAACAGTGAAAACAAAGCAAAGAAAAAGTTACCTGCTTGAATGCAATGGAAGCAATGGCACCAGCTGTGTAGTTTCCAATGCCAGGGATTTGCCGCAGCTCAGCTACATCTCGAGGGAAAATGCCCCCGGAATTTTCTACGATGTGCTTCGCTCCCTGATCGCAAGAACTCGTGAAGCACAAGCGAAAAAAAAAGAGTTTGAATACCTGCCTCGAGAAGGAACCTCGCGCGTCTGTAATAGCCAAGTCCAGCCCATAGTGAGTTTACTTCCTATGACGAAAAAAGAAGAAGAAGAAAAAATCCTAAGAACAAAAGAGATTTTTTTCGTTGTCTACAAACCTCTTGAGAAGCTTGCGAGAGATGGCTCAAGCTCGGCCACTTGCTCATCCATCTGGGAAAATAATCTTTCACTCTTCCTACCGTCGTTTGCTGGAGCATCATCTCCGAGACCCACACAGAGTAAGCTCTCTCCTCCACATTCTCTCCCACAAAATCATCCGGCCGCCATGGAAGATCGCGCTTGTTTCTATCATACCAATCCAGCAAATCCCTCCTGATGATCGTCACCTCGTGCTCGTGGAAGCCGCGCCCGCCCAGATCCTCAATGTCGGGTGGATTTGGAGCGATCGATCGCATCGCCACGAAGAACAATGAAAAACCCCAAAAGTTTGAAGAACCCTAAAATTTGCCGTTGGTCGAATCTTATTGCAAAAGAATAGAACATTCTCACAATGTACAAAAACAATTTACACCAGCCTATTTCACGCAATCTCTCTGCAAAGCCAAAAAACCAAAGCAATCGACCTTTACACGTCCTTTCCATTTGCTCCATTCACCTCTTCTTTTTTCCCAAGCTCTGGAACAGCGCTCGCGGCCGTAGCTTTGTTGGATTTGGACGAAAAATCCCACAGCATGATGCTCGCTGCGAGCGTCAAGATCATCTTTGGCCTCACCTGGATCAAACAATGGATCGATCAAAAGTTTGTAACTAAGAAAGAAAGGAAGAGACATCTTCTTTCTTTACCTCTACAATGTCATCCCACAGGAGGAAGATCGAGCAGCCAAGTTTTCGTGCCACGCTGATGATATAGTTTGCGTTTTGCTTCCTATCCTCGTCTGGATGAAAAGCAAAAAAAATGAAGGTGGACAACAAAAACCAAGCTTGCCTACCTGTTTCTCCCTTTGTAACTAGATTCCAGTTCACTACTCTTGGCTCCACAGCAGCAAGGAGATCGAGAAAGAAGATACCATTCGCCAGACTTTTATCCTATCGCAGGTCCAGGAAAGATTTATGAGATTGACAGAAATCGTGCACAAAAGGCGGGCTTACCTTGAAGCTGTCCATTCTCGACTCTCTACCAGCACGCTTAACTTTCTCATTTGTCCACTGTAGAATATCCGCATCGGAGACCTCTTTGCCGTGCAGTCTCAGCTTCTTAAGTACGTGAAGCATGCTATATCTCATCAGTTGCCACAAAAAAGCTGCACAACAAGTGCAATTGTTAGGAGTTCTTCGAGCTTGAGGTAAGCGAGAAGTACCTAAAATGAGCTTTTTGTTTCCTTGAACAATGTCGTTTCCTGCTACGTTCACTAGCGACAGCTTCATGCCTTTTCCAATGTCCACAACCTGATTGCAGTTCTCAACTTTCTTGAACGGCATCTTGATCGGGGGTCTGTTTGCGTGCTTCCAGTTGACACATCCCGGGTTTAGCTTGTCAAGAACCTCGAGCAAAACCCATCTGCAATCGTAGATTCAAATGTTAGGAGGGTCAAAATTAAATAGAAGAAAACTTACCCATCCCGAACATCCTCGAAGAGATGATGAAGGTAAGTGTCCATTCCCAGGCTGTTGATCCACATGCGAAACGCGCGTTCCTCTCTCGTGTCCTGCTCATCGTCCTGGATCATCTCGGCAAATGTTACTGCCACCTTGCTGGTGTCCAGCGTCAGACCATTTCTGAAAAGAGACAGAAAATCAGAGGATGCAATCTTGTTCGATATAAAAACTACTACCGCTCGTGGAAAAGGTGCGCTATGAATGCCAGGTTCAAATTTGCAGAGCCGTCAACAACATCCTTTGGTGATAAGTACTTTTTGCAGTTGATTTTCTCTGCTTGAGACAGTAGTAATGCCGCCCTTTCCAACCCATCCTTTTCCAGAGGAGCCAGGCTACAGCTTTCAGGTGCTAACGCATGCAAAAGCAATGTATAAGCTTCACCATCCTATCCACAAAAGGTTCACTTATTAAGTCCTATTACCATGTTTTCAAAAATTTTGAAGACATACCTTGACATCAGAAGAGAAATTAGTAACTTCTTTCTTGTAGCCACATTTTTTCAGATGGAAGTTCATCCACTTCAACAGCATTTTCTCGGCTGGTAGATGCAGGAGCTCTTCAACTTCCTGTGTACGATTAAAAATGTAAGAAAATACCACTATCTACATAGATCGTGAAACCATACCTCGCTATCGTTCAGCACCTCCACTAGTTCTGGTGTCTGTTTCAGGTTGACAACCGAAAGAAGCTGAATCTGGAAAAGAAAAATACAAAATGATGAGAAAGAAACTTTAACGTCTAGATTACTAGCTTACCTTCACGATTTGAGAAATCAAACCAAGAACCAAATGCGGCTGGCAGGACAAAGGAAAGGTCTCAGTATACTTTAAAGCACATGATCAGAAGTACTAACCCTGCCCTCTGCAAGATCTTCCGTTCCTATATTGACAACAGAACAACCGATCGCTTTCGCTGAATTCAGACACAGTTTATGATTCTCGACTCTTTCCCAAGGATTTAGCCTGCTCTTGATGTTTAATGCTCTCTCGTCGATAGTTCCAGGAGCCGCCACGTTGATAAGCTTGCTTTTCAAAAGAAACAGTGATCCATAAGAAATCAAATAGCCATGTGAGAAAGCGGCACTTACCACAGCAAAATTCCATCCTTGACAATTTCAAACAAGTCGCCCCCGGATGCATCGATCGGCAAAACAGGATCCAACACGGAGTCGTCGGCCAAGTAGCTGTTGATGTGATCAACGTACGCTTTCTTCTCCGAGTCACTGATCGTATGAATCAGCATTGTTGTGGCATCCTTTAGAAACGCGGAGGTTCGGTGAGGGCCGATAACTTTCGGGCTTCCAATCTTTTGTAGATGCAAATACATCTACACACGCAAATCACCACACTTGTCAATCCAAAGATCTCTCTAGAAATTTTTCTCTCCGTTACCTGAAGGAAAGATTCGAAATCCAGGCCTCCGGTAAAACCTGGATCGTGCTGCTTCATGATTCCAACGACCTCCTCCGGCGTTAGCGCCTGCTGGAAAAATCCCAGCTTCGAAGTGCCATGCTCCAAACCAGCCGCGGTGATCCGTCCAGAGTCATCTTTGAGCAAATCAAACTACGAACAGGAGGAAGAGAAGAAAAACCATGAGAGCTAGAAAAATTTATATCGTGAACCTGCGTCTTCAAGTAGCGCAGCTCCTTCTGAGTGAACTGACTCGCCAGAGATGGATCCGACACCACCACGCCTCCAAATCCCGCCATCGCTGCTGCTCTAGACGCGCAATCTGATGCTACATTCTCGCCCTAGGGCAGACTCCTCCCAGATCGATCGCGGGGGCCCTTAAGACACGATATTTCGAGGAAATCGAGCGCGATGGAGTGGAAGCGCCGCCCTCTCCCCCATCGCTTGACCTGGAAAATTTGTCCCTCGTAGTCTTTTAGGATTTGGCCTCGCCGACCATCGTTCGATCCCCCCTAAAAGAATTTTAAAAAACCTTGGACAGTTGTAAGTTTAATTGAGTTGCCCTAAATCGGGATTTAAATTCACGTAATTTAAGATGAATGTCCATAGGATCTACCATGTACGAAAAGAATAATCTTCGTGGCCGTGATCATTGGGCTTTAAAAGTTTTTAGCGCTTTTTGTAGAGGCAAGGTTTGAGCTCCGGCCAAGAGAGTTTCTTGGAGGAAGAACGATCGTCTTTGTCTTTGCGGAGGTAGAAAAGTAAGAACATTTTGTTCGAATCATCCTGCCAGGAATCGAGAGATGAGAACGTCTTCTACTAGCAATTTACCTGTTTGACGAGACTGAAGCCAAGGGATTTCAATCCCCTGAGGAAAACTTGAGGATCGGCGCCGTGGTTTGCAGGATCAAAGCGGCTCTTCACTTCTGCTATCAAGAGCCATCCTCTGGCACAGCAAAAAGTTTAGTTTCGCCAGCTAAAAACTTAAGAGAAAGCTTCCTTCTTACTTGGCCTTTAGAACACGATGAGCTTCTTTGAGATAGCTTGGATAATCCGTTCCCATGAGGGACAGGCAAAACACTGCTACATCCACTGAGGAACTGGGAATAGGCGTCTGAAAATTCATGAAAAAAAAGAAACAACAATGGATCAATGGACAAAACAATGGGAACAGTGAACAGTGGAAAGTTTTGGAACTTACACTGGCCATGTTGCACGCGGTGACTACAGGATCATTGGAAACAAGATCGAATGAAAAAACTTTGTTCTTGACGCTTTTGGCGAGCCTAGCATCACCTAGAAATCACACACAAAAAAACAAACACGATCAACAAGAGAGAACTCTGGAATTGCTCTATGTACCACAGCCAAAATCCGCGACTACCAAGTTGGAGTTTCTGGAATTTAGCCACTCGATGATCACATCGACTGGAAGCTTGGGCCATCGAGACATTTGTTCTTGGTATCCTGCGTGGTACTAGTTGATACAGTTAGCTTGAGAAAAAAGAATTCGAGGATTCTTGATCAGTTCTCACCAGTTTGAAAGCGTCGGGATCCTTATCAAAGTAGTCTTTAGCTCCTTCTCCACTGCATTGCAAGAACAAGAAAACTTTAGAGCTAAGCAAAAAATCGAGATCTCAAACCTGCGAGTGTAGAGAACTTCATTGAGCATGCGAAATTGGCCGCCGGAAAGCCTCTGCCGCATCTATGGAGAGAGGCAAATCGGATTCAAGAAATTTCTCTCGATTCATACCTTGTCTAGAACACTCGTGGATTTCTTCTGTGAATCTTTCCTCCCGGAGTGCTGCCGCTTCTCCAGGCCATCACAAATCCCTGATACTTGATGCGCAGCGCCGCCATTCTCCTTCGCCTTCTTCCCAGAATCCCCATTCTCTCGCTTGCGCTTCATCGAAGAACCCTAAACCTCGTGACGAATTGGGAACTGCCACGTGTCTCTCTTGCTCCCCAGAATTAGGGAATGCCGTGAGCTAGGGCAAGAAGCTCCGGCGCGCGGATGAGCGAGAATGCGGGGTCTCCGGCGGGCGGGGGATTGATGGCACTGGCAGGGCGGAAGATCTTCCTCAGCACATTCATGCGCCGCGGCTCAATCTGGGCGCCGACGCTGCTGCTACTGCTCGCCTATCTCGTCCTCCACGGTGCCAGCAATGTGTTCTTTTTCGAGTCTCGGGCAGTCGTCCAGAGCATCGGCCCAGCTGCCAGGCACCTCAAATCCTCCGAGAGCTTGATTGCGCTGCCGGTAAGCGAGTCCCGGCCTCTTAGAATCTTCATGCATGATCTGCCTAGCAAATTTACTTACGGGGTAGTGGAGCGCTATCTTAGATCCAGAGGGATTGCTAGGAACGACAAGAGATTGAGGTATCCAGGGACGCAGCACAGCGCCGAGTGGTGGCTTTTCTACGATCTAGAACAGGGAGAGGACAGGAGGCTGAGTGATTCGTCGGTGAGAGTGATGAATCCGCAAGAGGCCGATGTGTTCTACGTGCCGTTTTTCTCGTCCTTGAGCTTGGTGGTCGGGAATGGCAAGAGTGAGGACGATGAAGATCCTTACAGTGATGAAGATACCCAGGAAGAACTCATGGCATGGCTGGAAGAACAGGAAAGCTGGAAGAAAAACAAGGGAAGGGATCACGTAGTGATTTGCCAGGATCCAAATGCCTTGAAAAGGCTGAGGGATCGTCTCAAGAACACGGTTCTTTTGCTCTCTGACTTTGAGAGGTTTAAGCCGGATCAAGCTTCTCTAGTCAAGGACGTGGTTCTTCCATACACTCATCGGATCGACTCATACTCCAACGAAAACGTAACTCTCGACCGGGACACGCTTCTGTTCTTCATGGGAAACCGCTACAGGAAAGAGGTACTATGAATTCTCCGAAGCTTTTCGATAAAAAATCTCTTTGTTCTTTGTTTCCAGGGTGGTAAGATCCGAGACCAGTTGTTTCAAGTCTTAGATGTCGAGCCTGACATGGTGATGAAACACGGCACGCAATCTCGCGAAGGACGCAGGCTCGCGAAAGTTGGAATGCAAACTTCCAAGTTTTGCTTGCATCCTGCTGGTGATACTCCATCGGCTTGCCGGCTCTTCGATGCGATCGTGAGTGTTTGCGTGCCGGTGATCGTGAGCGACGACATCGAGCTCCCGTTCGAGGACGAGCTCGATTACTCCGAGTTTGCGATCTTCGTTCCTTCGATCAACGCTTTGGAGCCAGGATATCTTGGCTCCTACTTGAGGAGTATCTCTCCAGATTTGCTCAAGCAAAAGCAGCAGCGGCTTCGCGAGGTGAGATCCATTTGTTCTTCTTTAAGTTGGAGAAAACTCTGCTTTTTTTCGAGTTTTTCACTAAAAGTAATCGTTTATTTTCTTGAAGGTGAGAAAGTATTTCGAGTATGAAGAGAAAGGGGGCGCAGTAGAAATGATCTGGCTCCAAGTGAAGAAAAAGCTTCCTTTTATACGGACGATGATAAATCGTGACAAGCGCCTCGTGGAGAGGAGCTCGGGGAACTGCTCGTGTATATGTTCGTAGAATATACTTTGTACGAAAAAAGAATAATCCTGACCAAAAAGATTCGCTTCCCGCCAGAATTTGTATTTGGCGCCTTTGGGGTGGAGTCTTTAGCATCCTCCCGCTTTCGCCCTAGCCTAGCGCAAGATATTTCGATCGTCTCGCGATAGCGCCCAGCATTTTGATCTGTCTGCGCTGTGAGGCCGTGACTCGGAAGCTTGATCGATGCGGTTTCTTCTCGGAGATGCAGGTAAGTAGCGTGGATTCTTTGCTTTTAGAGAACTAGAACTGGTTCTCGTCTCGGCAGATCTTTCTGGCGCTGGCGCCATGGAGCTGGGACTGGAAAACGCGTTGCCGGATGCGATTCTCAAGCGAGGTGAGAAGATTTTGAGATTTTTCGTTTGATGGAAGCTTGTTTCATCGCGGCAGATCTTTCTGGTGCCGGCGCCATGGAGCTGGGATCGCTAGACACCCAGCAAGGTAAGGCCGTTTCGAGAATCTCACTCCAGCGCATTCACGCATCTCCACACACAGATCTTTCTGGCGCTGTGGAGGGATTGATGGACGTGCTACCGGACGCCATCGTCCAGCATTTGCTATGCCTCCTCAGCAATGCCGAGGACGTAGCGGCGTGCTCGTGCGTTTGCAAGAGGTGGAGGGAGCTCATGGGCAGCGTGAGGAGGCTGGTCTTTCCAAGGAGTCTCAGCGACAAGGGGCTCCATTCGAGCACCCTTGTGAGCCGGATGGTCCGCAGCACGGCGGAGCTCGAGGAGCTCGTGGTCTACTGCACGCTTACCTCTGCCGGGCTCATGGAATGCGTAGCGCACGCTGCCAAGAGCTTGAAGCTTCTCGAGTTTCGGGTGGAGGAGGGTTCGGACAAGGCTTGCGTGGGCAAGCTCGAGGTTCTCAGCTGCAGCTCCTGCGACTTAGAGACACTGAGGCTGTGGGGAGGAATTCTTCTTCACTCTCCGGTGGGCTTGAGGAGTTTCACAGGCTTGAGGACGCTCGAGGTTGTGGGTGCTCGGATCCGAGACGGTGCTTTGAGGGGGATTCTGGCAGCCTGTCCGGCTCTCAGAGAACTGGCTTTGCTGGGCTGTGATGGGATAAGGTCGGTGTGCGTGGAGCTGAAAGAACTGGAGAGATGCCGCCTTGATTTTTGTGGATCTGGAGATAATTGTTTCGTCTCAGTGGCCGCTCCGAAGCTCAGAGTCTTGGAAGTTCAGGGAGCCTCGTACATTCGTATCGCGGAAGATTCGTCTCTACAGCATTTGTCTATCGCAAAACAGACAGGTACTCATTCTTTGTTTCAATCCAGCTTTGACACTGTTTGTTTTTATTTTTGGCAGGAATGCTTGCCAATGTGGAAGTGGGAAAACTTCCTGCTCTGGCGTCCCTGTCTATCAGAGGTCTTCAATGGGATTGGGGTGCTATCCAGAAGATGCTGCAGTCTGCCACACAAGTCGAGACGCTCTACATGAAGATTGAATTTTGTGGTGATGACGAAGCTTTTGAGCCTTTCCGTGACATCGACTTTGGAGATTTTCTCACGAGCCATCCTAAGTTAAAGAAGCTTGATGCCCATGGGGCATTGTTTGCTTCCTTGGTGCTGAAGGAGGAGGTAGACTTGTATACTCAAGCCATTGCTCTTAGTCTAACATCTTTTTTGTCTTTTGTAGATTGCCACTCCTCCGCTTGCTCTGCGCTTAGAAGAAGCAAACATAACCATTAGATCGCCTCTCAATGCAGAGAGGAAGCTGCAAGTCTTGAAGAGTATGATAAGTTGGAGTCCACTTTTGAGGAAAGTTCGGCTAAGAATAACACAGATGAAGTGCACTGACATCGAAGCTGACGAATTTTTTCTCAACCTCATTAGATTGAAATGCGTTTACGATTTCATCACAATTGACTGAGGTCATAAAAACTTCACAACTCTCTATCCATCAGTAACTAACATTTTCTCTCCTTTTGCAGATTGATAATCACAGCATTTATTTGCTAAGAGCCAATGTAAGTTCTTCCCAGATTGATAGATAAATGGATGGATTCCCAGCTTCTCGGTGCTATCAAGTCGTGCAACACGCTTCAAGAAGCCAGAGATTTGCACTGCCTCGTCCAGCCCAGCAACTGCAGCGTCTTCCTGGCCAATCACCTCATTCAGATGTTCGGCAGATGCGGCAGTGTCGACCAGGCACGCAATATTTTCCACTCTTTGCATCCAAAGAACTCCTTCTCATGGGTACTAATGCTCTGCGCATGTACCAGGAACGGGCATCTGGAGGAGGCCAAGGCGGTCTTCGATGCAATGCCGCACGCAAACAACCTGGTGGCACACAACGCCATGCTATCAGCATACGCCCAGCACGGGCACCCACAGCAAGCCATGGACTTCTTCGCCAGCATGCCAGAGAGAGATTTAATCTCGTGGAATACAGTGCTGGATCTCTCCTCGTCCACCAAGTATCCAGCCAACGCGAAGCTCATCTTCGAGACAATGCCGGAGTGGAACTTGGTCTCCTGGACAGCGATGCTCGCCGCGTATGCTCAGTCCGGGCATCTCCACGAGGCCAGAGAGCTCTTCGCCGCCATGGAAGAACGCGACGTGGTCTCCTGGACAGTGATGCTCACAGCCTACACTCAAGCCGGCAGCTCCATCGCAGAAGCCAGGGGGTTGTTTGACGCAATGCCAGAGAGAAACTTGGTATCATGGACAGTGATCCTAGCCGGCTACGCGCATAGTGGCGAGATCGACCAAGCCAGGGAGATCTTCTCCGCGATGCCAGAGAAGAACTTAGTGTCATGGACGGCGCTACTCACGGCCTGCACACGCCGCGGCCGAGTGGAAGAATCCAGGGCGGTGTTTGACGCTATGCCGGAGAGAAGCCTCTTCGCGTACACGGCTATACTCGCGGGCCACGCACAGGACGGGGACCTCGACCGCGCAAAGGGCGTGTTTGACGAGATGCCGGGCCGGGGCATTGCGGCGTGGACAGCGATGCTGGTGGCCTATGCCCGGAGGGGGCATCTCTCCAAAGCCAGGGCTCTCCTCCTCGCCATGCCCGAGAGGGATATCATCTCGTGGAGCTCCATGCTCGCGGCGGTAGCTCACAGTGGAGACTCCAGTGGCGCGGCGAGGCTCTTCCAGTGGATGCAAATGGAGGGCGTCGCGGCGGAGAGAGCGTCACTGCTGTGCGTGCTAGTGGCAGTGAGCGATGCCGGGGATCTTGCCAGTGGCTGCCGATGGTTCGCTTCCATGGAGCTGGACTATGGCGTGGCGCCGGGGAGGATCCACTACTGCTGCGTGGTCGATCTGATAAGCCGGGCTGGGCGATTGGACGAGGCCGAGGAGGTGGCGCTGGGAATGCCGGTGGAGGAGCGTGGAGAGAGCCCGGACTGGTGCCTGTGCTTGCTGGGCGCTGCTGGGAGTCAGAACGATGCCAGAGCCGGTGCCCGGGTTGCGAGAGCGGCGTTGGAGATGGATCCGGGTAGCAGCCAGTCGTTCGTGTTGCTGGAGAAGCTTTGCGGCTTGTCAGTGTGAATGATAAGTTACTTGACGAGACTTTTATCCACCAAGAAGAGTAGGGAGTTCCTGGCTGTCTGGTGATTGCCATCCACCAAGAAAGTTAGCTGGCTGGCTGGCTGGCTGGAATCCTTCTTGTGGATTGTCAATGGATGAAGCTCGCCTAAACTTCCACCTTTTGGCGATTTGATTCCCCATCCAGAGTTCCGGGCTGCCTCGATCGAGAGAGTGAGTCGATCGATCTCGCGAAAACTGCGTCCATCGTCTACTACTTTACAAAAGCTGCCAGAGGAAGAGAACTGTTAGATCACCCACCAAGGACGAGCGAACTTCACACGACAAACCTGTGGAGAGACAGTCCGGGATGCGCTAGCAGCAAATCGGGCAGCGAATGAGTCCATTCTCGTTGCAATCCGGGCAGCGGCTCACCTGGCTCATCCCGCTGGGAAGATCACGCACCACCAGCTTGCAGCTCCCGCTACACTCGAGGCAGGGAATGAACCGGAGCCCGCCACAGCCATCGCAGACGCTAAACGGGTCTTCCTTCCGGATCCCTTCCAGCATCTTCACGAGCTTGCCTTCCTCATGTAGCCTCCTCACCTCCTCCGCGCCACCAATGTAGCGTCCTCGGATAAACAGCCGTGGAACGCAGCACGCCGCCGCGGGCTCTATGTTGTCCAGCAGCTCTTTCAACTCCAGGCGGAAGTCCGAGTGCATGGAAACGTCCCTCTCGTCGATGTAGACCCCCAGGCTGTGCAGGATCATCTGGACGCCGTGGCACTCCTCGTAAGTTTTCCGGATCCCCCTCAGGCTGGTGCAGTAGAGGACGACGTTGTTCTCTCCCCCTGGCGGGCACCGCAACTCGAATCGCTCCAGAGGATCCTTTGCATCGTCCTCGTCCTCCTCGCTGTCGAGGAGTCCCATCTCCATTGGAGACGCGAGAACTTTGGAGAAGGAGATCTTCTTGGCCGTGCCCGAGGCCGCGAGGCTGTCGCGGAACGTCCAGAAGCTGTCCCACAGCACCAGGCCGGACGAGGGAGAAGACTTCGCGGTACTGCCACCTTTGCCGATGACTTTGGCCGGGATGGAGTTATAACGCGGCCCTTTGATGAGTGGCGCCTCTTCGTTGCTCGATTCATCGGAGTAAGCTGTTGCTGTCCCAGTTGTCGTCGTTAAGTCGTCCTCTTTCCCAGAGCACCACTCCTCGGCGGACAGGCTCTGGAAAGCTCGCTCGATCGAGGCCAGGAGCTCCGGATCAAACAGAGGCCCGCTCGCGTGCATGGGGCTCTTTATGTCCCCACTAGCACCACCGTCACCCCCCACAAGGTACTCATTTTGCTTCCTCTGGCCTCTGTCGGTGGTGGAGCAATAGCAGCAGCACTTACACGGCCTTCTTATCCCAAGGCCGCATTTTTTCTCCGCCACGCTGCTCCCTCGTCGAAACAAAGGTGACACCTCCTCTCCCGGCCCCTTCCTCGTCACCAGAGAAGTTAATGGCGTTCTCGTCGGCGTGCTCGGTCCCTGCTGCTGCTTGCGAGGAGTCCGATCAAACTTTGGCGCGCTGTTCTCCTTGTTCCCGGACGCAAAGGTGGCCGTTTTCTTGGCCTTCTTGGTGCCAGTGGAGGCGGCGTTGGTCTTCTTCGCTGTTGGAACACTGGGAACGGCACGAGCAGAAGGAGAGTTGGACAAGAGCTTGCCGCAGCTGCGGTTCCGGCACCGGCTGTTTACGTAGAAGTTGTAGATCTCCTTGAGCACCTTCTCGAGCGCAGCGGGCGATATCCCATCGATGGTGAGAATGGAGTCGAGCTTTTTGGCCGAGTGCATGGCCGCCGACCAGGACACCGAGCGGTGGTACAGGCGTCTCTTCCCCGCGTGGCGAGCCGAGAGGAAGGGGCTCTTCTTTCGCAGCGATGCCGAGGCTGGCGACGAGCAGCTGTCGCTCAGTAGCAGTGACCTCGAGCAGTCTTCCTCGAGCCCGTCCATGAGCTCCCAGATGTTGATCACCTCCGGCGGCTCTACGGGCTTGTTGATCTTGTCACAGCTGACGAGCTTGTTGACGCAACAGGCTGTCGAAGACGATGAAGCCACCGATGCGCCGGAGACGTCTATGGAAGTACAATTTTGAGGAGGAAGAGAAGCCGCCCCCCCTCCATCTCCTCCTCGACTTCCATTCCCAGTAGCTGGAGCTGGATTGATCGAGACCACCACCTCCTTGTCCGTGCAGTCCTCATAGTTCGTGATCGCTGGAGACGAGTAGCAATCTTCGTAGTTCGTGGGAGCTGGCGAGGGGGACGAGGAGATGTTGTTGTTGTTATTGCTGTTCCATCGCAGTAGACCATAGGTTGTGGACGTGAGCGCAACAAAGTGGTGGTGGTGATGTCCACCGCCGCGAGATCGCCGCTTTCTCAATGGCGTGGAGACGCTCCTTAGCAGTGAGGATTTGCTGCTGCTATGGTGGTAGTTCCTGGAATTGCCGCTCCCAGATGTCGGTGTACAGTAGAGACAACGCGATGAAACGCACCCCATGTCCTCGATTCCTGCCACAATAGAAAGAAATGCTGATCAGAGCTTGCATAGACGATGGAAATCTTCGCAATGCGCCTCGATCTAGACGATCGATCGATATTTAGCTTCATCTAGCCTGGATCGATGGATTCTAGCCAAGCTGTACTCGCGAAACCAGAAAAATCCGATCGAAACACCCCAGACTGCCTAGATTCTAGCAATGCGCTCTCCAAATCCCGAAATATCGATCCATACGCACCTTAGCAGCCGCGATCGAAGAGCATCACATCGATCGGCGCCTCGTCGTCATCCATCCACGCCTCGCGAGAGAAGAAGCGCATTCCTCTCAACCAAAAACCCTAAAGTTCCTCCTTGTAAATGGCACGATCCCAACGGCTGGATTCCAGCCTGACGTTCCCCAGCGTTTTTTTCTTAACCCCAACGGTCAAGAAGGAAGGCCACACCAACGGCCAGGATCCCTCCAATCCAAGCCGTCCAAACAAGTTTGTTACTTAGTGCTAAGTGTCTCATAACTTAGATAATTATATGACGGCTTCCCAAGTTTGATCGAAGTAGGATTCTACACACACAAAATCATCACAAACTCGATCAAAGCCTCCTCCAATTAAAATCATACTTACTTCCTTGTGCCGATCAATCCAAATAGCTCCCAGCACCAATCTATAACTCGATCAGATAGAAGTTCTTGCAAGATCACACGAACTTACTTCCGTGATGACCGAATCCATTCAAGCAGCTGCAGTACCGGGATCTGTAAGAACACCAAAGTTTCGCTCTTACTGTTAGACTAACACCAAAGTAGCTTACCGCTGCTGCGATAAAAATCTCTTTTTCCTGCTCTTCCGCTTTCCTCGAGTTGATGGTAGAACTCCACGACGAGGGGATGAACTCTGATCTTCAAGGCATTGAATCCCAGTAGCCGGATCCCCTCCAAGCTCCTGGCCCGCGAGAGCGCGACGTAAACCATCCCACACTCGAACGATCGCGTCAAGTCCGTTT